AGAGTTTGGTGAATGGATATGATCAAAATACATTGCACACATGTATGGAATTCTCAAAATAATTTTTTAAGAGGATGAGCCAGCAAGATGGCGCAGTGGGTAAGGGGGCCATGCTGCCAAACGTGATCATGTGAGTTCAATCCCCAGAACCTACATGGTAGAGGGAGAGAATAGACTCTAAAAGTTGTCCTCTGGTCCCATACACTCAAACATGGGCACATGGATGGGCAAATGCACACTCACAAACTGAATAAACAAATGTAAAAAATAAATAAGGTCTGGGGAAATGTCACACAAGTGTAAGGACCTGAGTTCAAATCCCAACAACCCACAGGAAGTTAAGTACGGTAGGGCAAGTTTGCAATGTCAGTGCTCCTCCTTTGCCAAGATGGAAGGCAGAAAGAGGGGAATCCTTGGAAGGCTGGAGGCCAGAGAGTGTATGCAGTGTCAAACAAAAGAGAGAAAAGAGAGACCCTGTTTCAAAGAAGATGAAAGTCAAAATTGACACCTGAACTCAGACTCTACCCTCCACAAAAACACTATGGCATAGCTGTGGCTGGACTCACATGCACACACACAAAGAAAAAAGATAATGAAGCCAATGCTTAAAAACCTGGAGATTTCACATAAAAATCTAGACTTTGGCATTGCTTCAAAGAGAATGACATTTATATTCTAAGAGGCTTCACTCTGCTACCTAATCTAAACTAGGTTATCTCAGTACTCTCTATAAAATAGCCCCATTTCATTGTATAGTGTCCTGCTAAAATTGTTTATTTATTCTACTTTTTTGATAGTACTGGGGATTGAACCCAGGACCACATGTATGCTAAGCAAGAGATCTACTGTTGAGCTAGCCCCCCCCCCCCCACTCCTCTTTTTACTTTTTATTTGAGATGAGGGTCTCACTAAATTGCTTGGGCTGGTCTTGGAACATGAGGCAATCCTTCTGCCTCAGCCTCTAAAGTAACTGAGATTGTAATTGTGTGCCACTATGCTCATTCACATTATGCTTGTCTTTGCAGTACTGGGTACTGAACCCAAGACTTCACACACTCCAAGCAAGTACCCTACTACAGAGCTATATTCCCAACTCATTGACCATTTATTTTATTCAAATGAACCAAAAACTTAAAGCTATGAGAAGAGACCGCATTGCTCTTAGACTCATAGCTCCAAAGAGGACTTCCTTGAGGCAGGGGGATCTCTAGGTTATAAATTACCCCAATTACACACAAAAGTAAATGTATTCATATAACCTCTCTTCTTCCTCATCCTAGAAGCACATGGGCTGGCCACCTAACCTAATCCAATCCTGAAAACCAGACCTAATCGGTTAGTATCCCGTCCCAGGTATTCATACAGCCATTTGGTGACACTTAGTGAACAGTCTCATTGTCCCAAGTGCTGTTCTAGGTGCAAAGAACTGTGGGAAGAAGAAGAAAAGTCCTTTCCCTTGTGGTGGTAACATGCTGAGGGGAACAGATGGGTTTCGAGGGACAATTCTGTCTCTAGACCTATGACCTTTAGTCTGTCCAACTGGTTCTTCTTGTCTTTTAAGGGTCAATGGCTGTCTCCTTGGTGAGATCTTCCTGGTAAATGAGCCTTCCGCCAGCTTCCTCACCCCTGACTTTCACTTACTGCCCTATGCAAACACAAGCTACTGTATGCTCAGCACTGTAGCCCTCACCTCCATTCCATGTGGCCATAAAATACCATCTTTCTTATCTTCCATGGCTTCTTACAACTGAGATACCCAAGCCAGTGCTTGAGTTATTGCTCTTGAAGCAAGGAAACACTTCCCAAACTTGGCATAGAGGCCTATGAAACCACTGACCCATTGCTGTGGTTTCTAGACTATGCATTTTATTTACACATAGATTTAACAACCTATGAAGATAAAGTTACTATCAACCACTAGGTAACTTAACATACTGAAAATTACGACAAATAAAGGTCATTATAAAATATAAGTACAAAAAACCCATGAATTTCTTCTTGTGCCCCTGATAGTAGGCAGTTTTAGATCTACTTCTTACTGACTGGAACATTTGGGGAGCTAAGGAACAGTCCTGGGCTTCAGGCTCAGCACCCATGGTGGGAGGAGATGACTGGTGTAACAGTCATCTTTACCTGAAAGGGCTATTATAAGGACTGAGAATGTGTGAGTGCTGAACACTGTGTCTTGCACTTGAGTGCTCAAAACACACTAGCTACCCTTGTGTTCCAAGAACTAACCCCTCCCATTTGTTAACCTATCTTTGTGTTTAGCAATACTTAGTGGAAGAATCTGTGGTTAAAAGTGGAACTTCGATTACAGGGTCTTGTCACACTGCCTGGATGACCAGAATAAAAAGTAAGGGCAAACCAAGGGGGAGGGGGGATGATACAAAAGCAAAACAGGAAAGGGGCAAACACCTTTTCTCAAACAACTGTTGTCACTTCTTTCTTCTCACAGAAGAGAACCTTCTACCTGTTTCTTCATCTGCAAAATGAGGATGTAGCCAACAGATTTGCCTGCTAGGTTGTAGATTCTAGATGTAATAACACTCCAATAAACTGAGTCACTGCTTAAGAGTTCTGGACTCACGAAAGTAAGTGACCTTAGATAACACTCCTGTAAAACACGAGAATGATACCTATTTCACAGGACTGTGCAAGCAATAAATGAAATAACGCCAAGTATTTGGGACTGGGAATATCAAAAGAACCCAATTACTGACTAAATTACTAGCCTATTCATTGGACTTCAAATCCTCAAAGGTGGAGTGGAAAGAAACTAATCTTGGCTGAGGAGCTGAGAGAACCGGGCTTTGTTAACCAGCACGATGACCGCGGGCAAGTCTGGGACCCTCTCCAAACCTTCGTTCCCGCGGCCGAAAAGTGAGAGAACTGCCAGAGAGGATCCCTGGGCTCCTACCAGTTCGTCCACTTCGCTGTTAAGGCTGCCGAAACAAAGGCCACCCGCTCCCTAGTCTGCACCCGGGGGGGGGGGCACAACTCAAAATTCTCGCTGCTCAACTCCCTTTGCGGGGCGACAGCAGGAGCGCCCGGGTCTCCAGCCGAGACCGCCGCACCGCCGCCTCTGCCCGCTGCATCAGTAACTTGCTTTTGCAGCTGTTGCCCCAAGTTTTCCAGAGCGCCTGGAGCCACCCGGGCTGTCGGTCAGTCGCGGAAAGAGCAGGGGCGTGGGGAGCCGAGCCTAAGAGCCCAGTCCGGGAAATCCCGAAGCCGCTCCAGCGGCCGGGCAGGGAGTGACAGGTGCGACGCCGGCGACGAGGACCGGACGAACCCGAGCGCGTGTGGGCGCGCGAGGGAGGCGGCCGCCTCGCTTCCTCCTCTGCCCGCGCTCGCGACGCCCCCCAGCCCCGCTTCAGACCCTGCGGCGCCCAGGACTCCTCGGCCTCCGGGAGCCTCCTGCGCCGTGGCCCGGGCTCAGGCTTTGGAGCAAGGAAGAACTGGGCACCGCCGGGCCAGCCCGGCCGGTCCGCGGGTTCCTTCCCGCGCACGCCAGGGCGGTCGCGGGGTGGGCGCACGCGCACCCGCGAGCGCCGCCGTAACCCCTTCCTCCCCGCGCGCCCCCCGCACGCCCACCCAGCCGCCACTCACCATCGATGTCCCCCAGAGTCAGCTCGTCGCCCAGCTCCGTGAGGGTGTCCATGGTCTCCAGACCGCCCAGCTCGCTGCTCTCGTCCATCGCCCAGCTTGGCGCAGAGTTCCCCCCCCACCCCTCCCCGTGAGGTCCGGCTCAGGGAGACGCGGAGGCGGTGCCGCCGCCACCGCCCATGACACCCGACGGCCCCCACCTGGTACCGCCTCACCGGCCCGTGCCAGCCGCCGCCATGTTTGAGCTGCGCCCCGACTCCACGGAAGGGGCGGGGCAGGATTCCCCCCCGCCCCGGGCCGCGCCCACTGCGGCCCCGCCCCCAGCCCCCGCGCCTCCATGTTTGTTGTCAATGGGACCAGGCTCTGCTCAGCCAATCGGCGCGCCAAGCGGCTCGTGGGGTGATGGCGCGTCATCGATCAGCAGCTCAGATTTGCATAGCGGGGCCCCGCCCCTCACGGCCTCCCTGCGCCCGCGGAGAGTAGCCGCCAGGCCCTCGACCCAGCCTTCCGCGGCTTTAAAGGGGCCGCTACTTTCCCGCTGGATCAGCTCCAGGAGCGACTTGGGCGCGAGTCCAGGACTAGAAGGGTTAACAGACGGCTGCCGGGCGCTACCGACCACAGCCCCCGGTACGCTGTGAGCACATTACGTCATCTTCCCAGTTGCCTCTCCCTCGCTCTAGCCCTGAATAGAAGAATCACAGTGCCCCAACACTCAGGGATGCGGTCCAGACCTGGCCAGTCACTTCATTCCACCCAAGACCTGACAGGGTCTTGGATCGCCCGAGTGCTGTCAACATCTTACAACTGGCCCTCGATCATGGGAACCTCGTAATCACTCAAGGCCTTTGAACAACGTCATTTGCCCAAGCCCACCCCTGGTCTCTAGAGGTGGGACTCCGAGGATCCTGAAGCATCCCACTCCAGCAGTCACCTCACTGCATCATCTTACAGGTGGTCACATAGTACACCAAGGTGCAAACTTCCAAGAATGTATCCCGAGGAAACAAAGATTTGTGTTCAAAGGAATGCTGAGTAAATACATACACCCAAAGACATTCATCACAGAGTTCTTTGTAACTAGGGAAAACCCAAGCAGCCCAGGAAGTCACCATATAAATTACCTCCACAGTGAAAGATCATGGCAGCCTTAAAAAATTATGGAATGGGCATTAGAAGAAAGACATGTGCATTTATTGACAGGAAAAAGCTTTCATGACATACATGGGAAAATCTTCCAGAGTCTGAGGCAGCTGTTTTAGGGGTCAGACAGAGCTAAAGACCATACAGGCTGTATGGAGAAACTTGCGGCTCCATTAACCCGTGCATTGGGCTGGGTAGGCAACTGTTGCTAAGCCTCGGTTTTGTTATCTTCAAAACAGCACAGGACCACCCTCGGAATTTTCACATTTATTTGATTTCTGTAGCAAGCAAACAGCTCTTGCCTTCCAGGTGTAAGTGTTGCAGCCCTGGGGGGAAAGGTTTTCCCAATGCAAGTGTTGCAGCTCTGAGGGGAAAGGTAACAAACCTCACACAAGAGATTTACAGGCACAGACATAAGAGTGTGGCTGGGAGAAGCGGCAGAGAACTGAGCAGGAGGCAGGCTTTATACAGGGTTTCTTGCGGGTATGTGTGGATGGAGGTTTCCTGGCAAGATTCTGTGGCCTGATCTTAGGAGCAAGTAGGGATTGGTGAGTTTCTGTGGCTGATCTTGGGCGGCTTCTTCTTCTTCCTTCTTCTTCTTCTCCTCCTCCTCTTTTTTTTTTTTTTTTTTGTAGAGCAGAGCTTGGCCACCTGCATCTTGAGGGGCTAAAAACTGCCCTTAGGGACCTTAGAGTAGTCTGGGGACAGGACCTGGCCACTTGAGGGCCTTACATTAAGTACTTGTGTGTGTCTGTGTGTGTGTCTGTGAATGACAAAAACACTGAACATAAAAGTAACAGACAATGGTACAAGTGACCAAGGAAAAGGTGTGATGAGACTAACAAGGGGCCTGACCTGTGATATCAAGACTCTGGCCTGGGACCAGCAAGATGGGTCAGTGGGTAGAGGTGCTTGCCAACAAACCCAACAACCCAAGTTCAATCCCTGGGATTCACGAAGTGGAGAGAACCAATTCCCGTAAGTTCTGTCCTTTCCATGTATGCTTGGTCAACTGGCCTGAAGAAGCACAAATGAAGTCCCAGTAGAGGTTGGTGGCACACACCTTTTCTGTGGGGACAGGTTTTATGTAGTACATGCTGTCCTTGAACTAGGTTTGTAGACTTTTTTTTTTCCCTTGAAAGATCTTTATTTTTTTAAGCGGGCAATGGTGGTGCATGCCTTTAATCCTGGCATTCTGGAGGCAGAGGCAGGCAGATCTCTGAGTTCAAGGTCAGCCTGGTCTACAGAGAGAGTTCCAGGACAGCTAGGGCTACACAGAGAAACCCTGTCTTGAAAAACCAAGTATAAATAAATAAGAAGCTTTCTGGCTGGATCGATCAAGAGTGTGGCTAGAATGAGCTGAAACACAGGTAATGACGGTTGTCAGGTGGTAGCAGGGCAGATTTAAGCTTTGACTGTCCAAGAAGAAAAGCCAAGGGAAGGGAAGCTAGGCCAAAATACCTATTCCTTTAAAGAAAAGCTGAGGGAAGACACTACTAGAGACAGAGCAGACTTTGACCAAGGACAGAGCTCGGAACAAGAATAACCCAGAAGGATCATCCCCTAAAGCCCTCGTCCATCTGGACACTGACTAGGGAGGGCCGAGGAAAACAGAACTGAGTTGGGAAGGAGAGACATCTAGCAATGGCTGGAGACATTTTTAGTCGCCCTAACTGTGGGACTCTACTGGCATCTAGCAGGTGGGGAGCAGGGATACTGCTAAATATCCTACACCACTCAGGATAGCCTTCTTACACAATAGTAAAGTAGTCCAAAATGTGAACAGTGCCACACTGTTGAAATGCCCTGCCTTAAGGGAAAATTAAGGGACTCCCGGAGTCTCCAGGAGTGCCATGGACTGGACTTAGAAGGCTGAAACATCTAAGACCACACTGCCATTATTGCCACCATGAGCACACAGGTCAGGCCACTAGAAAACATACACAGTTACCTAGGCCACGGCCACTACCTAAACATACAATTGGTAGAGCTACAGTAACATAAATGAATCCCAGCCACTGAGTGAGCTTGAGAAGCAAGTGCCCTCCCTCAAGTGTTTTGTGTTTTTGTTTTCTAAACCCACCCACCCACCCACCACTAGGTGTGGTGACACATGCCTTTAATCTCAGGATTAATCTCTGAGTTTGAGGTCAGCCTGATCTGCAGAGTGAGTTCCAGGACAGTCTGAGCTACATAGTGAGACCCTGTCTCAAAGAAACAACCAACCAACCAAACAACAACAACAACAACAAAATCACAGAAAAGAAAGACAGGTCCACAGCCAAGCTGACCTGGTTCCTTAGAAGTTATGGGAAGAAGCATTTTCCTTGCAAAGCCACCAACCACAACCTCTCTCAAAGAGGAAGGGACAGGGAGGACCCTCGTGGCTGGCTCTGGCCCCGAGCCCCACAAGCACTAGCACAGGTTCAACAGATGATGGGTAGATCTCATCCTTTCCATAGGCCAGGAAGTCCCAGCCGCTAGTGCTGTCCTATCATAGAAACCTCACAGGAATCGGCTAGGTCACACAGCTGGAAAGGGACAGGCTGGGAATGCAGCCCAGGGCTCTTGGACCAGCTGCGTATGTCTTCTGCATCAGATAAGCATTTCTACGGGAAAACTTCTCCAGCCCTCCTCCCGACTACTTCTCATCCCCATACTTTTCCCGAATGACTGTTGAGATGCAGGCTACTCTGGGACCTTCCAAGAAGCCTCCCCAACACCTGGCTTCCCTTTGCTATGCTGGCCAGTAGAAAGGTAAGCCTCCAAGGATGTAGGTTAGAGCTTGGCAGAGGATTCAGACATTATCAAATTTATTTTACCAATGAAGGCACAGCACAGGGAAGAAAGAGTAGGCCAAGGTCAGTCAGGCTAAGGCTCAGGTCTCGCCACCACTGTCAGCAGTAAGAGGAAGAGTGTTCCTGAAGGTAGGGGTATGGCTGGGGATGACGTAGGAATGGTGGGTGTCTCCATGCCTTTAAGGGATACATTTTGGCTTGGCAAGATCGAAGAGGTAGCACTGAAATTTCAATAGAGCCAAGGCAGCCACCTGCTTTGGAATTCATAGAAACCAGGCTGCCCTCTGAGGGCCTAACTCCTTCCACAGCTCCCTGCCCTGTGGTCATGAGACTCTGCTTGAACCCTGAACTGAGAAGCCCACCGTCTGGTCAGCGCAGTTTACAGTAGTCCCGTTACCAAGCCAGCCTCCTGTAACCTGTCCCCTATAACATCTCTCCACACACAGGCTCCAGCTTTAGCAGTAGAGAGAACAAGTTGATTGTCCCCTGAACCAGCTCAGTGACTGTCCCCAGTTATCTGAGAATAGAGATCATGTTCTTTTAAGGTCTCCTTGAAATAAACACCCTCCCAGGACACTTCTGGGTCCCCTCCAAACTGATCCCTTATGAAGGGCAGCAGTGAGTAAATGAGAGGCCTAAACCTCTTGTTTCTTGTTCTTGTTTCTCTGCAATGCGAAGGCCTAGGGCTCCGTCCTGATGAGGCAGAAACATACTCCAGGCTTGGCCTGCCATGCTAGAAGCTCCTGGTGTCCTTACAGGCTCCTCGTCAGCCTTGGTGAGGCCAGTGAATTTGCTGGCTTTTAGTGTTGCTCTGCAGAGAGCTGGAATGGTGATAGGCAGCCCAGGAATACAGTGAGGCCAGCTACAAGCATGACACCTTCACCTGTAATTCAGAGCCAGATTCTACCGCTTCCTCACAAAGGCCAGCGGCTGGCCTGCAACTCTCACCAAGAGGATCCAGACCAGGAGTCCCCCAGCCAGCCTCCCCCAACAGCTTCTCTGCAAGGTCCTGTCTACAGAACAGTGTCCTCTCAAGGCCCCCTTGATGTGCCCTAAGATCCCAGAGGCTCAGTCTTTTTGGCCAAGGCTCAGACCCAGCTCCTGAGGACTCAGCAAACATGGGGTCCCCATCCGGAAGTGGCTGGTGCTCACCATGGTGCTTGATGCTGCTATACCACAGCCACACGGCTGCGCCTCTTCTGACTGGCCTCTTGATGATCCCTTAGGTCCCAAACTGCTCCAGGGCTACAATTCAGACTGAGATCTTGAGATTCTTGGGCCTTTTCGGATCTCTTTCCGCTTCTCCTCCTTCTTCCGGCGTTTTTCTTCTTCCCTCAAGGCCTTCTGGAAAGGGTCAGTGCTAGGAATGAACTGAGAGGGCAGAGTGATTTGATTTAGTCTAGGAGTAGCAAAGTTTCCTCCGAGCTAACTCATGGAATGTTAAACAAGAAGGTTCCAGGAGAAGGCCCTGCCCTTAGGGAGTCTCAGATAAGGAATCAGATGAAAGGGCTCAAGGAAATGCTGACTAGATCTTGAGATAATCAGGGGCTTGACAGGCAGATAGGGAAGACAGGAGATGTCAGCCGAGGCATGAACTGGAAAACACATACTCTCTTCCAGGAAAAGGGAGCAGTGTGGCTCTTGGAATACCTACCTGACACCTTTCAGGAGCGAGGCAAGCTAGGAGTCCCAGACAACAGGTGCTGCCTCTAGTGAACAGGGAACAGTGCCCACACAGGAGGACACGGGAGCAAAGCGGATCAGGAGTGAGAGATGGGAAGGCCAGGCAGACAGAGAGGACAAGGATTTGGGGGCAACTTCAACTTCAATCCCAGGTCATGACTCCTCCCTCCATCCTCTCCAGAAGTCTCCCCTAACCCACAGCTTCTGCTGGTCTCTGTGGCTAATTACTATCAAACCTGCATCTCTGTGTCTGTTTGTCTGTCACAGACCGAGGTTCCCATGACTACACTCCTGCAGGCTTTGAACATGCTGTGGCCTAGGCCCAGAATGCCCTTCCCAGCCCTGTCCGCTTTATCTCATTTGCTCCGATTCTGCTACCACTGCCCTTGGGACCTCTTCCATGGCTGCCTCCTCAGTGGCATCTGCCTCCTCAGTGGCATCTGCCTCCTCAGTGGCATCTGCCTCCTCACTGGCACCCTCTCTTCAACTTTGTACTAATTTATTCTTGTGCTTCTCCTTTGTGGTCACCTACTTTGTGATTGTCACCTACAACAGCATGTCTCATGACGACGGAATGTTGGTATTGGGTGTTGTGTTCCACTATGTCCCAAGCACAGAGCACCATAACAGCATTCAGTGTACACTTTTAACAGAATGAATGAATGGACTCATTAGACTATAAACACAAAAGGATCTGAAACTTAGGTTGTGAAATATGTCCCTTTTATGTATTCTTAGGACAAAATTGACAAGTGTGATCAAGGTAGGCGTTAAAAACAAACTAAGAGTGCCACCTTGTGGCATAACCTACCTGCCACATAAGTAGTCCATGCCTCTGGGAAAAGGGGGACGTCCCAAGAGTGCTCTGAGACAGGAATGATGTGTTCAGGCCACACAGCTAATGGAATGCCCAACTACCTAGGACTAACCCAACCAGGCATCCCACTCATGTCCCAGATACCTACCATTCTGGTCTCATAAGAGAGTCTTCCCACTGAGAGGTCCATGCTGAGTACAAAAAAAGTGGGCAGGCTGGGGATCATCTGTATATTATGTATAAAGCCCTGGGTTCAAGTCCCAGTATGGGGAGGAGGGGAGGGGGGATTGGTAAAACTATCAGGATTATCTCCAGCCGACAAGAAGGAAATTATGTTGTTCCTATGATCATGTCTGAGAGCATATCATAATGTTACAGTAAATTTATCCTAGAATTTAGCTGACTCGCCCTCCTGTGGGACAGAGGCATATCTGACTGCAGGATGAGAAGCACCTACTTGCAGAAATAAAGCATTTCCCTAGGTGCCCCCTTGTAGCAAAAAGAATCTCTCCAAGGCCCTGAGCACCTCTACATGCACTGACTGGGTACACGCAGAATCAAGGTCTTGTCCAGGGCTACTTATCAGAGTTATGATTATAGCATGGAGCCTTGAGGGGTGTATCACTGGGAAGGAGCAGCAACTACTTTCGGGGGAAAACCATATCCCCTACCCTTGGCACATAAAAAAAACACTAGCTCAACAGGAACCTCAGAGGTTCTGCTAGATGTAAATAATCTGGCGTGGTCCACTGTGGTTCAGCTAGGTTAAAAACTAGGGTGCTGACCAGAAATTAGCAAACATTGCAGGTGTGGCCGTTCATGGTAGCATATGCCTGGAATCCCAGCACTTGGGAGGTAAATGCAAGATCAGGAGATCAGGCTAGCCTGGGCTTCATAAGACCTTGTCTCAAAACAAACAAGAAAACAATAGAGAAACCCAGGAAGACTTGCAGGTCTGGTTGCTATCTTTTTCCTTTTTTTTTTTTTTTTTTGGTTTTTTCGAGACAGGGTTTCTCTGTGTAGCTTTGCGCCTTTCCTGGAACTCACTTTGGAGACCAGGCTGGCCTCGAACTCACAGAGATCCGCCTGGCTCTGGCTCCCGAGTGCTGGGATTAAAGGCGTGCGCCACCACCGCCCAGCATGGTTGCTATCTTTTAAAGGCCATGTGTCTAAAGTTGGCCCTTGACTGGCAGTTGGAAACCATAGTCTTGATCAGTAAGAGTGGTTCACTGTTCTCAAACTCTGTGAAATCGATATGGTTTATAGTAAGTTTCCTTCCAGCAGCTTGGAGTTTGGGTACTAGTTAGATACAGGGTACTTGTATAACCAACTCCCAGTAAAAACCAGGGTACTGGGTCTCTAGTAAGTTGACAAAGGAAGCTCATACATGTTACAACTTGTTGCTGGGGGAATTAAATACATCTGTGACCACTGTGAGACAATACAGAAAGCCGGTTTCCCTGGGTTTTGTCCCATGTGTCAAAGCTGGTGTCAAATTCCAGGGCTCAAGTGATTGTCCTAGTTAACCTCCCAAATAGCTGGGGTCATATGTGCCACCACACTTGGCCAACAGGTCTCTATAACCTTGTAAAAACTCCCTTGTCCCACTCATATCTGAACCTTCTGAAAGGTCTAGGTGAAAGAAGTGGGTGACTAGAGAAAAGAGAAGTTATTGGTATCAGGATGGGACACATGAATAATTCAGCAATGACTCCAGCACCTGGGAATGGCTTGAGACTCTAGAAGGCCCAGAGAACACCACAGTGGCAGACACCACTAACTGGTGTGCAAATTCCCATCCACATGATGGAGACACTCACACTGACAGTCAGCACTGAACTAGTCTGTGTCCCACACCATCAAAGGTCTCCTCAGAATACCTATGCACACACAAAGAATAGTACAGCCTTGCTTTATTCTCACAGATAAACTATGGTTGTCCTGAAACTCACTCTGTAGACCAGGCTGGCTATGAACTCAGAGTATTCGCCTGCCTCTGCCTCCCGAGTACTGAGATTAAAGGCATGCGCCAATACTGCCTGGCCTATCTTTTATTCCTAATGCCTGAGCAGCCTTGGATTAAACCACACAGGCAACCTAGGCTAAAATTCTGAAGTTAAATACCCTCAATGTACTGAAAGGCAAACAATGTACTGAAGACTTAAAAGTGTAAAGTGGGAGAGAAAGGGCCACAGGAATAATGTCTATCCACGGTGGATGATTGTTGCTTTGGGCCCATCTATTGCTTCCTATAATTATTGACAAATACATTCAATGAGATTGGTAGGTAAAAATCTAAATTTTAGGTGGGTGTAATGGCTAATACATTAATTTTAGATGATATTCTGATGGTTCAAAATGAGACACACTAGTCCCCCCAAGACTAGTTGAGTCAGGGACCCTGGAGAACATGATAACTGCAGTCAGTTCTGCAGGTTGGCCTCACCCCGGCATTCAGAATACTGTGGCTGTAATTTCAGCATTCAGAAGGAAGGCTAAGGCAGGAATATAGAGAGTTCAAGGTCAACTGGGGTTATAGAGTGAGACTGTCTTAAAAGTCAAACCAACAATCAAAAAGCAATACATCTAACTGCAGCTTCCATAAACGACATGAAACAAACTGAACGGATTTGGTCACGGCCTCTCAGTCAGATTGATCAGGCAGTAGGCTATTTGTGATTGGCGCTGGGCACCGTCCTATGTTCTTGCTGAGCACAGTAATGCAAAATCTGCTAAGTTCTCTAGTTTGATTAATAACTGTTCTAAGGCAGTTTTAGTCCAGCCTGGCCTAAATTCACTATAAAGCCAAGGTGGCCTCTTGCCCCAGCCTCCTGAGTGCTGGGGTTACAGGCAAGTACCACTATACCTCCCTTCTAGCAACTTGACCCAGACCACTTTTCAGGATTATTTTTGCAGAGAGACTAATCTTGGAAGGTTGTGGAGTCTTTCCCTGGACAAAGCACAGATCTGTTTAATTTGTTATGCAGAAAGATGGCTAACTTTCCAAGCACAGCGGTCTGCAGGTATAATGCAAACCCTGAATGCACAACACCTGCCCGGTTTCCATGAAGAGACCTGGAAGAACAAGGGTTCCTAAGACCATGAGCCCAACAGTCTAGCTCCTGCTTCTGCTGCCCTGAAGAGCGTCTGTGACCCGCTGACATCTACAAACAGTAGCAGGCTACTTGGTCAGCCTGCAAGCCGTACAACCTTAGCCCTGTCATCCTCACACCCCTCTCTACACAGGCGTCCGTCCTAGTTTCCTGGGCATGGGAGGGGCCCTTCCTCCCAGCCCTCCTTGGCCCTGCCCTGCTCCCTCTGCTCCCTTCCTCCCTGCATGTGTCACCATCTGTTTTCTCAAACTGCAGCTGTTAGCCCCCAGAGCCGAGTTTAGAACTCTAGATGAAAGAAAGGCGTGTGTAGGAGTGAGAACAGAAGCCCCAGTGTACCAGTATCAGAGGCTCGAAGCAGGGAAGAGCATGATCTGACCTCACCTGGTCACTCTCACATTCACAACGTGGGGTACATAGTGTGCAATGAGATAAAGATCATAGTCTCAGGAATCCCCCCCAGTCTCCACTCCACCTCCAGCTATGGTACACATTTAGGGAGAAACAGTGACTTGCCAAAACCTTCAGTGACTTGAGTAATGGTTTCTGGATCCATATTCTTGGATTGTCGGGTTCCAAGTTTAAAGCTCTCACGGCCTTCTCTAGGCCGTAGCCCCTGCAGACCCAGCCTCCCATACCCATCAGACATAAAGCAAACAGTTGCAGGCCCCAGCAGCTCACCTCTGTCCGGTCTATTTTAAACGGGTTCTGGAAGTCAGAGTCTTTCTCACTGATCCCCAGCTCCTGGGCCATCTGTGAATGAAAAAGCTAGTCATCCTCTTCTGCCTTCTGCTCCCTGATTGCCAGAGAGCCATTCCCACCATGCAGGGACTTAAGCCTCAGACCCTGGGCCAGATGTAGGCTAAAAACAATCCCTAGGGACCCTCCAGGATAGCACAGAACCCCTTGAATTAGGCCTCCATGACCCAAAGTGCCCTGAAATGCACAAACAAATGTAGCTAAGTATTCATGACCAAGGATAACTGATAAGGCCAACCACAGACAGATGCGAGGCTTCCAGCCCACCACTTGACAGGGCTCCCAGCCCTCTTACCAGTCCTTACCAGGTTGAGGATGGGTGAGTGGGGCCCCTGGTCAAAGACGCCTGTCTGATTGCAGAAGCTGATGCCCCAGCGGATGAGGAGGTTCCAGTTGGAATTATGGTCAAAGTAGTGGTGCACGATCTTCGGGAAGCGCAGCACCACATCACCAAAGAAGGCCGTGTTCTCCACCACGTGGGAGAAAGCTGGCAAGAGGATCTTAGTGAGTCGTCAGGGTGGTTGCTCTTCTCCTCTTGTCCACCTAGCTGGCCCTAGACCTCCTCCAGGAATGGAGGCATTTACTAAACCCACCAATCAGAGAAGGCTTGGCACCCATTGATACAGGCTGTTCATTGCATGTGCAGTATGTGCTAGGGCCTTCTACCCCACTGACGGACTTTACAGGGAGAGACAACTGCTGTTCCTGCTTTACAGACTGCGTTGGTTAGGTGTTTGTTTTGTTTGTTGTTGGATTTTTTTTTTTTTCAACCTGACATAAGCTGGAGTCATCTGGGAAGAAGGAACCTCAGGGAACTGCTTCCATCAGACTGGTCTGTGGGCATATCTGTGGGGCATTTTCTTGCTAGAGGACTAACGTGAGGACCCAGCCTGCCATGGGTGCCACCTGTGAGCCACCCTGGCTTATACAAGAAAGCAGGCTGAGCAAACCATGCGGAACAAGCCAGTAAGCTGCACTCCTCCATGGTCTCTGTGTCAGTTCCTGCCTTGGCTTCCCTCAATGATGGACTGTGATCCGGAAGCAAAAAGAAACCCTTCCCCACCCCCTCACCCCAAGTTGATTCTGGTCAAGGTGTTTATCACAGGAACGGGAGCAAACCTGGACAGATAGGAAACTGGTGCTTAGTAGCTGATGAGGGTCAAACCTAGGCTGCAAACCTGGGAATGTGTTCAGACTCACAACTTGCTGCTGGGAAGACTCACTTGCTGAAGTCAGGCACAGCAGTGCATTGGGCAGTCCAAAACCAGGGCTCAGGAATTCAAGGTTATCCTTGGTTATAGAGTCATGGGGCCAGCCTGGGCTAAAAAATCCTAGGTATTCCCTTGTTTTGGAAAAAAAAAATCCATTTACTTTGTGACTCAGAGATGGGCATTGTTCTGTACAAAGATGCCAACTCCCCAGCCATGGAACCCAGTGTCCAGAGCTGTGTCTTGGTGGTAACCGTCTGTGCAGGGTCAGCTCTGTCAGGATGGCCAGCAAAGAGTTGTAGTAGTTTTGTTTAAAATATTCTTTCCATTTAATTTTGTTTCTTTTTGCTTGACAGGGGGTCCCATGCAGCCCAAGTAGGACTGAGCTGAGACTTATTATGTAACTAAGGATAGCCTTGAACTCCTAATTCTGTCTCTACCCACCAATACTTGGGATTACAGGTGTGCGCACCATAACTAGCTTTAATTTTCTATTAAGTTCTCTCTCTCTCTCTCTCGTCTTTGTGTGACCAAAGGCTAACCTAAAACTCAGTATGTAGCTCAGGTTGGCCTTGATTTCATGATCTTTCTTCTAAAAGTTAGGATTACAGGTGTGAGCCCTTCCTTTAAAATGGCTAACTGGCCGGGCGGTGGTGGCGCACGCCTTTAATCCCAGCACTCAGGAGGCAGAGCCAGGCGGATCTCTGTGAGTTCGAGGCCAGCCTGGACTACCAAGTGAGTTCCAGGAAAGGCGCAAAGCTACACAGAGAAACCCTGTCTCGAAAAACCAAAAAAAAAAAAAAAAAAAAAAAAAAAAATGGCTAACTGATAAACCTGTCTGGGTTGGACAAAAGAGAAGCTACAAGCTTTAGAACAGCTGGTTCAAGAGCAGTTAAATGCTCAACACACTGAAGAATCTACCAGTCCTGGAATTATCCTGTATTTGTTATTAAAAAAGTCTGGTAATTGGAGAATGCTGACAGATCTGAGAGCTATTAATAAAGTAATCCAGCCTATGAGCTCCCTACAGACTGGGATGCCCTTGCCCTCTCTGCTACCCAAAGAATGGCCTATAATAGTTATTGACTTAGAAGACTGTTTCTTTACCACACCTTTATAAGAAAATGATAGAGAAAAATTTGCCTTCACAGTAACTAATTATAACAGTTCCCAGCCAGTCAAGAGGTATCAATGGAAGGTCCTCCCACAGGGAATGTTAAACAGCCCTACCCTATGCCAGTATTTTGTGCAAAAACCATTGGAGATAATTCGTGTGAAATTTCCACAATCCATAATTTATCATTATATGGATGATATCTTATTAGTTGATCCAAAGTTAGGCACCTTAGAAAGCATGTTTAAAGAAGTAAAAAAAGTTTTGCCTCGCTGGGGATTACAAATGAATCTACTCCATTCTGTAATCATGAGTGTATTTCCTCAATTTATATCTTTTTTTTTTGGTTTTTCGAGACAGGGTTTCTCTGTGTAGCTTTGTGCCTTTCCTGGAACTCGCTTTGGAGACCAGGCTGGCCTCGAACTCACAGAGATTCACCTGCCTCTGCCTCCCAAGTGCTGGGATTAAAGGCGTGCGCCACCATGGCCTGGCCCTCAATTTATATCTTAATAAATTTTGTTACCCATTTAATAGACTCGCATGGGTTGATGATAATAATTTAAGACCAACCTGGTCTACATATCAAGTTCTAGGATAGCCAAGGTTACATAGTAAGAAAAAAACAAAACCATGAACTGTTGGTAGGCATGAGTGAGGAGGGACTACCACTGACAGAAGTTCTTGCAAGAGGGGACAAAGGGACATGAAACTTCCTGTCATCTTACTTGTTTTTCTCACCTGGTCTGAAAAGGGACTTAAGGAGTTTGGGTTTTTTCCTATAGTAGCAAAGAGTGCTGGCAATCACACTCACTCAGCTATTTGATAGGCCTCAGTCACTTCTTCCAATGGAAACAATCCCTATATGCCTCCCCCAAAAGTGACTGGCAGACTCTGCCCTGGCCCTTGGAGCAGTGGTAGGCAGACTCTTCTCTAGTTCCCCTGTCCTAACCACAGAACAACATAAAGGAATATGTGCTAAGGACAGAAAAATTATGTAATTATGAGTGGCTCCAAATTCCAGAAATGTTTAGAGAACCATAGACTAGGCCAACTATTCAGGTATCACATGAGGATATTCCCAGGAACAAATGATAAGAACAGAGAAGGACCAGCTAGAGAATACTAGGGTGGCAGGGAGCCAAGTGAAGTGTCGGGGAGACCATACCATCTTTCAGCTTCTCATCCTGGGGGAAGGGCCCGTCTGGGAGCACATCTGCAGCAGTGAGCACTGTCCGGGAGTCCTCCAGCACCTGAAGGAATCCCGTGTCAGCTAAGTGGCTTTGTGGAGACCTTCGCAGACTAGCTCCATCTCGTTACCTGAATCCCACTCTAATTCTTCTGGTTAGACAGTGCATTCCCTCCTTGAACACTATCCCCTCAGAGAACTCTTACTCATCCATCAGCGCACAAATCAAAGCCCTGCCCTGCTGTGAGCTGCCCTGCTCCCCAACACACCTTAAAGAGTCCCTTAAGCATGACGTCCAGGATCTTGTACTGCTGGTGGATGTCGTTCAGTTGTGCCAAGTTCTTCAGTGCCAACAACTGCTCCCGCCGCTTCACCTCAAACATCTTCTTGTCTGAGCACCACGAAGTTAAGGGACAAGCACAAAAGCCCTACCTGGACAATGCAGTGGCCCTGACCCAGAGGGCCCCTTCCTAACCTGTACCACTAAAAGCCGTGGATGGCCATGGCTGGATGCCCCTGGGAAGAGACTGCTTATGTAGTATACAGGTCCTGTAGTGTACCATTTCTCAAAGAGCGGAAGCCTAACACTCTGAGACCTGGCACCTACCCTTCCATTCCTGTGTCTTCCTGTCATGTCTCACAGTCATTCATGCTCCAGGACCTCCAGCAATCTGCTCAGACTCTAACCTCAGCCTGAGATGCCCCCACCATTCTCCTGGAGTACAGTGTTTCTCCCAAGACCTCCTGTATCCACCAGAGCCTCAACCACAGAGAACAAAGGCCATTCGTTCAGTTGTTGTGGTGGTTTAAATGAGAATGGACCCCATAAGTCATATTTAAATGTTTGGTTCCCAGTTTGTTGGATCCTTTAGGAAGGATTAGGAGGTGGACATGTGACCATGTTAGAGGTGTGCCACCAGAGATGGGCTTTGAGGTTTCAAAAGCCCACACCAGGCCCACTCTCTTTCTCTCTGCCTCCTGCCTCAGGATATAAGCTCTCAGCTACTGCTCCAGTACCATGGCTGCCTGTCTGCTGCCATGCTTCCCACCATGATGATCAAAGACTAACCCTCTGAAACTGTAAGCAAGTCCTCAATCAAACGCAACCTTGGTCATGGTTTCTCCACAGCAACAGAACAGTAACTAAGACACATGCTTTCTCCTTCTAGCTCTGTGGATGCCTCAAAACCGGGGATGATCTTGTCTCAGCCTTGTGCTGCCAAGGCATGGCTCAGAGGACCAGTGTCAAGACAAGCTAGCAATCCAAAGTTCTGGAGGACCCACCTGGGGTCTTACAGGGTGCTACACACATACACTCCTCACTGCGCCTTGCAGATCTGAGAGATGGACCCAAACTTCAGTTAACATACAGGGGAACCAGCTCAGGAGAAAACTGACTTGCTCGCAGTCTAGTTAGAGATTGTTTCCTCTCCCTCCCATTCTTACCAACTCTGTCTGCTCATCTCTGGAACTCCCCCGAGGAGTTATGGGCGCTGAGAGATCTCGTTTACCAGCCCATCAAAGACAGCCCATTCACCCCACCCAATCCCCAAAGAGATACAAATCTTGAGGCTCGGGTCCAGGGTGCTCTTTAGGGTGCCTGTGACTTCTGTGCCAGACAACAGTAGGACAAAGAAGGACACCAGGAACTGAAGAAGGCCCATATCTGAGACTCTGGAGCTAGAGGAATAAACCAAAGAAGGCAAGTGAGTTCAGTGCAAAAGCAACTTCCCCAGACATGGCCTGACCTCCAAATCCCAAGAATCCAGCTCTGGAAAGAAAGCCCTGAAGATCTAGCCAGGGCTGGTGACTAGCAGGCACACAATGTAGGCCTATAGGATTGTAGGAGAAAGAGAGACTTTCTATCATGCTGGATAGGGACCAACTGAGACTAGCATGCAGGTTGGGGTCTTGACCACATCTGCCTTTGTTACTGAGCAATTGTCCCAGCTCTCTAAACCAAAGCTTCCTTACCTGTAAAACAGGGCTTAGGAGGTCTCTTTCCTGAGGCAGAGAGGCAGGTCTGGATGATGTACTCTGTCTGGAGGAATGCCCATAGCATTCCTCTCAATTCCCTGGCCCTAGCCTCCTAGGAGGGTCAACCAGGAAGTCTCAGGCCGTGAAACAGTATATAAAACTTGTGTGGTTTCCCTCCTCCAACTGCTTCCGACATCAGACAGAAAGAAGGGACACAGGGTGGGAAGGGAAGTGGGAACTCTTGGAGATGACCACTCACTCACATGGGAACCACATGCAACATCTGTTCCTATTCCAACAGCCCAGGAAGTTCTAGAGCCGGGAACAGACACAGTAAGTATGGCAAGCCAAACACCCTGTACTTTGTCCCTTGTGTAAGAGACAAATTGACAAATACACAAGTATATATATTTTTTAAAAGAGAGAGAAAGACAGGACTAGGGAGATGATTTGGTTGGTAAAGTTGGAAGCATGAGGACCTGCGTTTGATCTCCAGCCTCTATGTACAAGCTGGGCACAGTGCATGTTTGTGGTCCTAGAGCTGGAGACAGAACTATCCCTAGGGCTCACTGACCAACTAGTCTAGATGAATCTAGGAGCTCCAGGTTCAGTGAAAGATCCTGTCTCAACAAACAGGGTAGAGAACAATTAAGGTAGAGATTTGATATTGACCACTGGCCTCCACTCCACATACACAGAGAGAGATGCACACACATGAACACATACACAATTTTAAAAGGAAATGATGAGAGGAAGCTGATCAGGTGCAACAGTAATAAGCGGGAGCCAGAAGTAGTGGTTCGTAACTTTAAGCCCACCACTTGGGAGGCTGAGGCAGTTTGAGGCTACATGGTGACATTCTGTCTACAACTCCAAAATGGATGGAATAGGGGTGGGAGACGAAAGTCAACCGAGGCCTCATATTCAGATACCCAGTTTTACTAATGTGGAAACTGAGGGACAAAAATAAACGAATGAATGAATGAATGAAGTGGCTGTCCTGAGTCTCACAGTTGTTCCTAGACTGAGCCCAAAGTCCGACTCTAAGTTCAATGTAGTGTCTCTTGTCTCTAAATAGGCACAGGCCACCTCATATCAGAGCTGGCCATACGCCAGCCCCAGGTTTGAGTTGCTCGGTGAGAGGCCCTTAGGAGAGCCTCTGCCTCAGACGGGACAGCTGAAGCCTAGAGGACTCCAAGATCATCCAGGACCCTCCACCTTCCGCTTCACGTTCCAGGACCCAAGGGAACCTGAACCAGGCCACGGCAAAACTTAGGCAAACAGAAATTCACCACACAAAATAAGATAACTCAAGCAGGACGAACGTGAGAAAGGAAAGAAAAGAGGCGGACTGTGGGGTCAGGTCTGGTTTTCTTGACTGTAACTCTACTATTCGGCCTCTAAATCTCACTTCTGTCCAGAGCGTCCCCAGAGCTCTTTCAGGCTCGGCAGGCGACTCTGAACTCGTCTTGAAGAGCTAGTGGTAGTGGCCGGCGGCTGGTTGGTTCCAAGCCTTGGGACGTCCGAGGGGCTGGCGAGCCCTTGTAAGAGGGGTCGGAGTCTCCCAACCCGGACGCAGTGCGGGGGGGCTCCGCACTCCCCTCCCAAGAAGCCGATCTGCACCCCCACCGCCACCTACCAGGACCGGAGGTGCAAGGAGGTGAGGGCAGCCCCTCCGCGTGCAGCTCAACTGCCGGACGCACCCAACTCCGCTGAAAGCGCGGAACTCTAGAGCACCGAGCCAGCCGCGCTAGGAGACCGACCAGCGGCCGTCCCACCCACTGCGCTACTCCGGACCAATGAGAGCGGGCCGCGACCGCCGCGCTCCGCTGACCTCACTTCCGGCCCCGCCCCGGCTGGGCTCCGGTGCCTGTCGCTACAGCTGTCAGCCCCGGCGTGGTCCAGTCGAAGGCGTCGCTCGGCGCGGCAGATCTCGTTTCTGGTCGAGCTGGAGGAAGTTAAGCTGTGGCGGGGCCTTTACTTTGCATAAAGCGCGTCAGCAAACCCAGGCCCGAAACTCTGGCTGCCCGGGCGTTGTAAGTGCCAGGCCTGCTGTCTCATCGGAGTCGTCTTTAAACCGCAGTTCACAAGATCCAGAGAACTTTTTAAAGGAACTAGCAGAATCCGCAGCGCGGACCGCGGGCACCCCCTACTTGCCCCTCCAGTCCACTAATTTCTAAACCAGAGTTCTTCAGTTTTGCTCGGGGTTGGGGGGTGTCAGGACAGCTAGATACGGAGAAGACAGGTGGAGTGGTCAGTGAGAACACGGAGGCCCAGGCTGAGAGACAAACAGATGTGCACGGAGTTGTCTGCCAGCAGCCAGCGACATTGGGTACAGAAAAGCGGTTTGAGGGGGCTGGCTGGAGCCAGGGGAACTGAGGCAGATTTGCTCAGCGAGGTAGGCTGAGGGTTTGATTTTCTTTGCCTGAGATTTAAACCTCTCCCCATGACCATTTGAGGTAAAGTACCTCTCAAAGTTCCAAGCACAAGACCTTTCTCTGCCCTCCCAGCTCAGGGCCCTGCTCATGTCCTCTATGTACAAACTACTATGAGGCACTCTGCACTTGCTCCTTAAATGCTATCTCCATTCTGTCTCTCTCCATCCTCTGTTGGAACAACCCAGTGTCCAACTGACTAGCTGAGGAACAAGTTCCAGAAAGATGAGTTCAGAACGAAAGCCCACACGGGAACGTGAATGCCTTGTTTTATTTCCTGATTCCATTTCCAGTGGAGTAAAATGGCTCCAGATGAAGGACTCAGATTGTCATTTTTCCATCAACAATTGTCCTGAATTTGTCTACAGGTCTCACTTCTTTCTGTGTCTGGGCCTTTATGTCCTTAAGGCTCAGCCTCTGATGTGGGACAGGGAGACATACACACCTCCAAGGCAGCTGGTATGCAACATGAGAGGAGAATAGAAGAGAGAGGAAGCTGAAGGGGCAGGGGAGGGAATATCACACTTCCAGAACCCCAAAAGGGCAAGAACTGTCAGATAAGAGCATGGATGCCGGGCTGGAGAGATGGCTCAGCAGTTAAGAGCACTGGATGTTCTTCCAGAGAACTCCGGTTCAATTCCCAGCACCCACATGGCAACTCACAACTGTCTGTAACTCCAGTTCCAGGGGATCTGACTGACACCTTCACACATGCATACATGCAGACAAAACCCAAATGCACATAAAGTAGAAATAAATTATTTTTTAAAAAAGCATTTATGCTTCTAAAATTTTGAAGTATTCCTCGTCTACACACACACAGAGGCACTATAATGTCTCCAGCACATCACAACCTAGACAACTCTGGCCTCTAGGACAGCCAGGCTTTATTCTCCCCTGTCCCTTTCTTCTCTCCTCTTCCCCCCTCCCCCCGTTTTTTGAGACAGGCTTTCTCTGTGTAGCCCTGGCTGTCCTGGAACTCTCTCTGTAGATCAAGCTGGCCTCAAACTCAGAGCTCCGCCTTCCTCCTCCTGAGTACTGAGATTAATATCTCTCTCTCCTTTCTCTCTCTGACAAGGTATTTCTATGTAGTCCAGGCTGGCATGAAAATTTAAGGTCCTCTTGCCTCAGCTTCCTGAGTGCTGGGATTTACAGGTATGTGCTACCATGACTGGTCTCAACCCCAGGCTTTCTTAGGACTTATCACTCACCAGCCCTCCCTACTTGGGCTGGGGAAAAGCATAATGCTACAGCCTTCATGGCCTTGGTGATGTTGCCCAGGCCAAAGCCTCCAGATGCAAGAAAGGATACAGCATGTCTTGAAGGGGTGGCTGGGCTGGGAAGGCACTGGAGGGAAGGCCCTCCAAGGAGGCCTGCAAGGTCTGGATTGTGTTGTGGTCAGTCAGGAGACCCACATTCTGGACCTATGGGAGAAGGGACAGGAAAGACAGGCCCTCTCTAACTGTCCCCCACCACCCATATTCTTGACTTCCCAATGGCTTAAGTGGCCAGAGCTTCCACCCTCCGCAGAGAAGATGGTCTTGAGGGTCTAGCCTCATATAACTGCATAGCATCCTTTTTCTACTCACCTGCAGGAAGAAGCCATGCAGGGCCTTGAGTGTATCATTTGGGAGAGCTGACAGGTCAGTCAAAGCTGCACCTTGCAAAATAAGACCCATCTCTTCACGAGAGAGGACGTTGCTGCTCCGGTACTGCACAAACTAGCCCAGAAGAAAAGCCCCAAATGTCCGTAATTAGAGGAGATGCCGTTTCTGTACATTGCTATGCCCAGCACTGAGCGGGGAACATCACTCTAAAGTCCAGGGTCCTGCTTTTAAGCTCTGCACTGGTGAGAATGGGTGGGGTTGTCTCACAGGAGAACAGGGCAAATGAGGTGGACTGCGGTCCTGGGAGAGCTGGCCTCAGTGACTTCTAGACATCAAGCCCCTCTTCCCGCAGCCTTGCACTGCAAACTCCTGGCCAAGATGAACTGAGTGTGGTTCCTGTTGCCTCCCTTTGTGCTCCTGACCCTCCTACACTCCCCTCACTTCCTAGACTCCTGCCTCCTCCTGCCTATGGATCCTTTGAGCTTCGGCTGAAACATCACCTACTCTTCACAAAGGCAATTACTTTTCTCTGTGTTTTCACCTCTGGTTTGTTTGTGGGGGAGCTTCACTGTCACCCATAGGCTTGTTCCTTTGTTCTTTATTCAACAAGAATTATTATGTGCCAAATACTCTATCATTCAACTCAGTTATGCATTTACTTGTCTTTCTCCTTTCCTAGAATGAGGGACCTCTGGAGGCAGAGTATGTGGGTGGCTCCGCCACATCCTTAGTACCTGGACGTGTCACGTGGCAACAACCCTGGTCATTGTTTCACGAAAGAAGTAAGAGAAAATGTGTCCTAAGGTTAGATGTAGCTATTCATGGGAAGTCCCTGGGCATGTCTCTTGTAGAATGAAGGCTACCCAACTCCTCTGCTCCTTGAAGATTAGGGTCACCTAAAATACCGTCATGTTTTGGACCTCTTTAGCAGCACCCTGCTGATACCTTCCGACCACAGGACTATCCTTTCTACACTTACCACAGTCATAAGTCTTAATATCTCAGGTCTGAGGAAGGCATTATCTCCAGCATCCAAGAGGGTGAACAGCAAAAACCGATTCCAGGGCTGGGAGGCCACATGGAGTGCTGCAAGAAACATCAGTCCTCAAGTGGTTAATGTTGTTCTTCTAGAGACCCAGGAGCATGCCCAAAGAGGAGTTTCTCCTATTGGCTTAAAAAAAAAAAAAAGGCTGCACAGTTGCAGGCAGGAAATTAGGCAGGCTGGGTTCATGAGGTCTCTTGCCTGGACTTCTACCCACCTATATGGACTCTCAGCGAGAGTCTGTCCCAAGACTAGGAGAGGCAGACAACTGGAAGGTGTCTGCTACTTCAGAGCACTGTGACTGTGGTTAGGCCTAGTGCTCGAACACGCCGACACTCAGTGCCCACATCTGTACAATGGGAGCGATGGTGTCCTCTGCAGTGCTGTCAAAGCACTGGGGCAGGAGGATAGCAGGGTTCATTCCCTCCAATCTTGATCATGGGAAAATGAGAGAATAAAGAAGGTTTCTACCAAGGTCGGGGCTCCTGGCATGCAGGTAGTCAAGCAAGGCTTCCAGACAGCCAACACAGGCTTGAGATAGCACAGGGTCTTTCTGGGGGAGAAAAAAACAACAAAACAAAAACAGAAAAGGAATTAGGGTCAGGATTTGTTTGTTTTTCTGAGACAGGATCTTATGTAGTCAAGTCTGGCCTCAAACTCCAGGATTATCATATATATATATATATATATATATATATATATATATATATATATATATATAAACCAATAAGGCTTAGTTTTAATACAGAAAAAGTTATTTTTTTAGTTATTAGATTTCAGTTTTTCAGATATGGAATACAGTCCTGTAGATAATTTTTAAAGGTATGTTAGTTATCTGTCACATACAGAGCACAATGCTTCTATTAAGTAACACCTTTTTGTGAAGCATCCCTCTTTATTCTTCTGGAAACAGGTCTCACTATTATATATCTGGCTACTATGGAGATCTGGTTGACCTCAAACTTGTGGCAATCCTTCCACTTCTACTTCCCAAGTGCTAAGATTAGGGATACAACAAGGCACTCAGCTGTAACAAACTTAAAAAAAAAAAGATTTATTTACTTCTATTTTATGTGTATAAGTGTTTTGCGGGGTTGGGGATTTAGCTCAGTGGTAGAGCGCTTGCCTAGCAAGCGAAAGGCCCTGGGTTCGGTCCTCAGCTCCAGGGGGGAAAAAAAAGAAAAAGTGTTTTGCCTATATGTAAGTCTATGCACTATGTGTGTGCCTGGTGCCCTCAGAGGCCAGAAGGGGGTGTTGCAGCCCATACAAGTGGAGTTACAGATGGATGTGAACGACCACGTGGCCGCTGAGAACTGAACCAGGGTCCTCTGCAAGAGTAGCCAGTGCTCTTAACCACTGAGCCATCTCTCCAGCCCCCAAAGATTTATTTATTTTAATTTTATATGTATGAGTATATATATATGTATACATATGTAATATATGTATGTATACATATATATGTAATATATGTATGTATGTAATATATATGTATATGTATGTATGAAAGCATACCATGTGAATGCAGTACCCACAGAGGCCAGAAAAGGGCATGGATCTCTGGGAACTGGAGTTACGGATGCTTGCCGTCAACCATGTGAATGCTGGAAACTGAACCCAGGTCCTCTGCAAGAGGAGGGAGTACCCGAAGCACTGACCGCCTCTCCAAACCACTAAGTTACCTTTTGTGAAAGAGTGATTTGTTTTAGAAAAGGAAATGAACCCTGGGACCCACTAATAGGTATCTAAAAGGTATCTTCAGTATATCTAAACCAGTAGGTATCAATTATTTTTTAAACATCAGAACCTTTACCCAACAAAACTTTAAACTCTCACAAACACATGAAAAAAATTCACTATCACCAGTCATTAGGGAGATGGAAATTAATACTACTATGAGATAGTCACTACACCCAGCAAGAGCTAAAATTAAAGACTGACAACCTTGTGAACCTTTTAGAAGTTTTCTCTGCCCTACGGCAGAAGAATCAGAGTGACTTAAAGACTCAGGTGCCATTGTGGTATTGAAAATGGAAGGATTGTGTCAGAAATAACTTGAACAACCTTCAAGAGCTGAAAGAGGCCCTGGGAAGAGTTCACTTCCCCCTCCGAGCTCCCAGCCTGGCTAACACTGATTTTAGCCATGTGGGTCCAAGTGGAAACCCCAGTGACCGAGCTCTTGCTTAGTGTGTGAGAACACTGGGTTTGATCCCTAAACTTCACAAAGACACCACTGACCTAAGTAGTGAGTTCACCCAAACTTCTGACCTATAGGACTATGAGGGGACTAACAGGACTGTAGGGGGTGTTTATATCACTATGTTTTTGGTAACTCATTACAGAGAAACAAACAGATCGCTAATACATCATTTGACCCAACAGTCCCATTTTTGGGTATTGACACAGAAACCTTTATTTATCCACATACAAACGTGTACTATAGTAGTAAGAGCGACTTTCTTCAGAACTGGGAGTGGTGGTGCACACCTGAATCCCAGCACTGGGAGGCAGAGGCAGGAGGATCAGGAATTCAAGGCAAGCCTGAACTACGTAAAACCTCGTCTCAAATTTTTTTTTTTTTTAATTTAAGAGGGGGAGACATCCGTTCTGCTTGGCTAGGATCCATTCTCCCTTGAAAACAGTTTTACTTTGGAGAAGCATCCGTCATCTCTCATGTTCAATCCATGCAGGCTGCACAGAGTCGACCATATATGTTCCAGCTTCCAGGAGGCATTAACCAGGCCAAGCTAGCATGGTGATTATACCCTACGCCAGGCTAAGGAGACTCAGTTCCAGGAACTTCAGGGAAAGAACTTCTTTCCATTACGGATATCAGCCTGGAGCTGCTGTTCATGCAGCCCGTGAGAACAAAGGGGACATCGAGGAGCACAGAGCTGAGCTAAGGGAGAGGTTCTCTAGCCTGAGACTCTGTTTGAAGCCATTAGGTATCCCACACTTCTCAGTCAGGAACCAACTCAGGCTTTTGTTATCATTGCTGGGTTTTTGTTTGGTTTGGTTTAGACAGGGTCTCAGATAGCCCAGGTTAGCCTTGAATTCTCTATATTCCGGGGATAACTGTGATGGTTAACCTTGGTTTCAGCCTCACTGAACCTGGGCACACCTGTGAGGGATTCTCCTGATTAGGCTAAATGAGGTGGAAGAAGTGTGGCGTCACCGTGGTCATGGCGGCCCCGCTGTAAGCAGGTCAGAGGGGCAGCTGCTGCTTTGTGCCCGATGGCTTATGTTTCACGAGTCAGCCCTTCTATGCTGTCCATCCTTCAGTGGCATCAGAACCCAGTCTCTTCAGCCTTCCAGCATGGCAGGAAGACCAGCGCTGGAATGGGCCCATGGATGTAGCCAGCCTCACGGACTAAGTAGCTACTGATTCTCAGCTCTCCAGTGTGGAGACAGCCACAGTTGGAATCAGAACTGTATCTCGTATGCCAATCTAATAGACTCCTTTTACTACATATTCATTCTATCTGTTCTGTTCCCTAGAGATCTGGAATACAATGATCTCTGAACTCCTGGTCTTCCTGCCTCCACCTCCCAAACGATGGGATTTCACGTATATGACACAAGGGCTGCCTCCGATGGAAACACTAGTCTCCCGAGAGGAAGCCATCTTTTCCTGCTGCCCCGAAAACAGGAGTTCCCACTGCCGGGGCCCACTCAGCCAGAGCCCTACCTGCACCAGGAGGTTCTGAAGCCCGATGAGCAGGGAGAGCACTTGTGATGTTCCCAGTGGAGCTAGGACAGTGTCCTCAGGAGTTGACATCAATTGACCCCCTGAGGGCACCAAGGCCACCAAGGCAGAAGAAAACCTTTGCTGCAGGGCTGTCCGCAGGAATCGTAGGATGGCAGCTGGAAAGAGGAGACTCTTTATACCCAGTTCCTCCCCGCTCCCCCATCTTCTACCCAGAAGGGGAAATGGTGCTGATAAATAATTATGGTCTGGGTGCATGGTCCTATCTCAGAATCTGAGGGAAAGGCTTTTCCCCTGCTGGGAAGTCCACACCATACCTGAGAGCAGTGCAGATTTTTTCTTTGGAAAGCTGAGAGCCTTCAACACTTGGCTCAGTTCCACAGATAACGTCTGATGAACCTGGTAGAGAAGTGGGGGAAGGGCTAAGCCCAATCAGTGTTCTGGAGACGTGGCTAGAAAATGGCCTGCCCACGTCCTGTTACACCTGTTACATCAAGACACCCTGACGTCAGCAGTGTGAGGGGGACAATCAAGCCTTCACCTAGAGAACTAACTCCCCTCTGAAGTCATCCCGGACATCAACAGCCTCCAGGAAGCCTTCTTCAGCCTCACGTGTGGTTTGGTCTCCGGCTCTACTCACCTAACTCAGAAGACCTAGAGAATGACACAGCAAATCAAAACCTTGGCTCTAGCCAAGGGTGGTGGCACATGCCTGCTGTCCTCTTGAGAGGGGAGGATTGCGAGTTTGAGGCCAGCCTGAATGACAGAGCGAATCACTATATAAATATAGCGCGCAAGTCACTGCATCTCTCTCAGCCTGCCCCGCTCTCCTCGTCTATGAAATGAAAACAGTGCTTCCTGCTTTCGCTACCTCCCGAGTTATTTTGGAGACTGGTTCAGGAGCACCATAAGTAAACATGAGTCTAATGTCCAAACTGAGAGCTAGACGGGGTGGCAGGTTCAAAGCCGGTCTGTTCTGCTCTCCTCCACCGGAACAGGAGCTGTCAGAGGGCAGCAACGACCACTCTGCTTGGCTCAGGGTCCAGCACAAAGCAATTCCTTAAACACCCTAGACTGAATTAGGACCATGGAGCTGGGTGGGAGCAGGTCGTCAGCCAGGTATGTGCCGATGGCCAGGCACGGTCAAGAAGGGGGAAGGAAGGGCAGGCTTCTACCCAGGCACATCACCACAGGAGTGGCCCAAGCTCCTCACAAAGAAGAACAGGGAAGGTTTCTGTTCTGAGTCAACCATGAGACTGTCACAGTGACACACACCTAGAAAACCACATCTGGAGGTAGAGGCAGGAGGAGGAGTAGTTAAAGGCCAGAATCAGCTACATAACAAATCTGAGGCCAGTCTGGGTTACATGACACCCTATCTCAATAAAATAAAAAAAAAAAAAAAAGAGAGAGAGACAGGCATGGTTACACATGCCTTTAATCCCACCATTCCAGTGGCAGCGGCAGGCAGGGCTCTGTGAGGGGGAGATCAACCTAATCCATAGGTTGCTCATAGCAACCTACATAGCAAGCCCCAGGGCTACATAGAGGAATCCTGTTCTCAATAAATAAATAATAAATAAAAAAAATCAACCCTAGGCAACACCATACAGGGTCTGCCTCAGCACATAACCGCCATAGTCTGTCACTACCACAGGAGCCCAAACTGATTCCCTTCTAACTGATGAGCCTGGCAGTGCTGGGGTGCTGTGCAGATACTGTGGAAGCTCGGAGACGGACCTCGAGGAGCAGCTTGGGGAAGAGATACTTGAATACGAACTAGCAAAGAGTGGCGCTCACAAAGGGCATTGGGCTGACAAGGACCTCCAGAAGGACACGAGGTTTTCTGGGCAGATGTCCACGGCTCTCGTGTCCCCTGCACCCACCTCCAACAGTGACAATGACAACTAACTACTTGTGGCACTCTGCGTCTTGCCACTGGGCACTACAAGGTCACAGCTGGCTCCTGCCTTCTTGTCTAAACCGATCTATTTGTTCAGTCCCTCGTTCTAGCCACACACACTGGCTTATCACTAAATCCATACCCAGGTCCTAATTGGTGCCTTTTTATGTCTCTGCTCATATTGTACTCTGCTCTGGAGCACCTTTCCCCACCCGCTTTGCCCAACAGAGTCTTCCTTCAAGGCTTACTTAGAAAACACATTCCCTAAGGCTAGGGCGAATGCTCTAGGCATTTTTATTTTTCTGTGCTCAGAACACAGCCTGACACGGAGGTGATCCATTTGTGAAGAGTAGTTTAATCCAAGCTGTCAGTAACCCTGACTCCCTCGATTCCCACTTTGTAGGTAGGAATTCTGAAACTCAGCATAGTTCAGTATTTTGCCAAGGTCACACAGCTAATATGCCACAGAGCTGGGGACGGAACTCGGGACTTCTTCGAGTGCTGTCTCGTGTCCCAAAGACATGGCACCAGACACTAACCTGCAAATTGCCATCGTGCTGCTGGGCAGAGAAGGAGGCGGTGAGCAGCCAGGCAGAGCAGAGCAGTGGAGTCCTGGGAGAGCCCACTTCTGTCCAGGTAAGCGCCAGCATCTTCTCCAGCAGCTCAAGCAAGGCGGTGCTGCTCAGAAGTACAGCAGCAGCTGGGAGCGGGCAGAGGGGAAGGGCGGCCGGCTAGCCTAACACCTCTGTGGTGTTGAGTACCTGCTGCCAGGGCTTCGAGCATACAAAAATAAACAAACGTGGCTCGTTGAGGGGACCTAAGGAGCCTTGCACACTGGAGAATCACAGACTACCAGAACTGGAGGGTCTCATCATCGTCAACCACACACAAACACCTCAATATGTTTTAAGGAGAGAAACCCAAGGCCGCCGAGGACCCCTGACACTGGCCTCTTCAGTGACTCTGCCTGGGCCCCTGTACCTCTTTTCTGGCTACTGGGTGTGGTCCTATGAAGACTCCAGTACAAGAAGTTGAAGGAGGGCTGCAGGATGTCCACATCTGCAGGGCTGCACTTCCCACACAGTTTGCTGACTGCAAGAAACCAGAGACCCTAGGTAGCCTATGGCACAGCACTCCGTGGTTTAAGTACTCTTACACTTCACACAGATGTTGGCCAACAGCTGGCAAATTTCAGAGGCCAGTCTCAGGGGAGAACACAGACATTATGGTACAGCCAGTGGAGAGAAGGACGGTGACAAATTTGAAGGGATGTTTGTTCACACCCTCCGTCTGTACGAGCCACATAAGCAACCCACAACCAACCGGCAACCTGAACACACTGTTAGGAGTTCACTTGTCAAGGGAATCCTCTCACCGTGCATACATCAGCCTGCTAACTTAGCAGTGGTCCTCACTCCCTAAGACCGCCCAGCCACTTAACCATCCCCGCTGCATTCCCAAGGGAGTTCTGTGATGCTGGATGGACAAGTCCTATACTTGCTATCCTCCTGCCTCTTCCCCCTCCTTCTTCCTTCCACCCTCTCTCTGTTTTTTTAAGACAAGCCTTGTGTATTCTGGACTACTCGCTGATGATGGTACTGACCCCCTTGATCCTCCTGCTTCTGCCTCCCAAGTGCTGGGATTACAGGTGCACGCCACCACTCCAAGCTTTCCTTTTTAAAACACAGAATCTTGCTGTACAGTCCTGACTGATCTTGAGTTTACAGTCTTCTTGCCTCAATCTCTAGAATTCTCTGGTTACAGGTAGACACTTATATCTGGTGTGTTCTCTTTCTTGTATCGCTGCTTTCTGGCTAACTTGACTCCTATTCAGCCTCCAAAATTCAGGTCGGGGATTCTAGTGTTGCAGGCTTTCATGAACTGCCCTTGCTGGGCCAGGACTCTTCCTCCACTTTCTGCTCCTTCCCCTCTTCCTTCTTCTAAGACAGGGTTTCTCTGTGCAGCCCTGGCTGTCCTGGAACTCACTCTGTAGACCAGGCTGGCCTTGAACTCACAAAGATCCTCCTGCCTCTGCCTCCTAAATGCTGGGATTAAAGGCATGCATCACCACACCCGGCTAGGCTTTTCAATGGTGCTGCTACCTTTGAGTCAGCCATGTTCTTAATTCCACTAACCTCACTGGCTGAACTGGGAAGGAATCCTCTTTGGTCTGTCAGAGCCCCATCTGAGCTGAACAGACATTTCCTTACATCTCCCCAGGAAGAGCAATGCAGCATTACAAACATTGTAGAGCCAAAGATGATGCAGAGTGGAACAATGACATGGCCTCTGCTAGAGGTGGGTAAGATACGCAGTTATGCTTAAGCCATCTGAGGGTGGAGCATCCATGGAGAAATCCCAGGGTAGCCATCTTTCCCCATGTGGGGTGACATGCTCCCTTGATGAATTTGGTCCACCATGTATGCGAGTACAGGGATGTCCCTCGAATGGGTGACAGACCAGACAAGGTGCAATCCCTGAAAACACATACAGATCAAGATTATAAGGAGCTGCGGTGAGTCAACAAAAGTTTAAAACGAGAGAGTTGCTGGTGAGACCGCTCAGTGTGTCCGAGCACCTGCCGCAAGGCCTGGGAACTTGAGTTCACTCCCTAGAACCTACAAGAAGATGTGAGGAGGGAACTGGCTCCACAGAGTTAACCTCTGACCTCCACACACATGCTGAAGCACACCTGTGATCCCATACAAATCATACACACACCGAAGAATAATAAATGTCAGCTTTGCGGCTCCTTCCCTGAGTGATAAGACACACAACTGAGGCTGCCTAGAAGGAGCATGCCTATTAAAGCAAGGAATAGCCGTGTGAAAAGGCCCTGAAGATGGAACCCTCCATGACAGCCTCTGATTGGGCAAGAAAAGTGGATAGGAGGGAGGGTGAGATAGAACGTTGGTTCAGAAAGATTTGGCTTAGGCCAGACACGACAGCTCTAGACAACATTTCCCTCTCGTCCTGGAAGCCCGCCCACCTCTCCACCACCATTCGGATCCCACCCGAGTCTCCTTTCACTTTATGGCAGCCACATCACACTCTGACTTCTCACCGGCTCGTAGTCAACTGGGCAAGAAGTCTTCCCTCAACAGCATACTCCCGAAACAGTACTTTCCTCTCTCAGAAGGACTCAAGAACAGTGTGTAAATGTCTACTATATTTCACATTTCAGAATAATCAAAATCATTCTGTGTTAGCATCTAATGCAGTCTAGGATGGCCCTGAATTCACTATATAACCAAGGATGATCTTGAGCTCCTGATCCTTCTCCCTCTTAAGTTCTGGGATCACAATAATAAAAAATAAATATTTTTTTTTAAGTCTCTTTTGTTTGCTTACTTTTTTTTTTGGTTTTTCGAGACAGGGTTTCTCTGTGTAGTTTTGGTGACTGTCCTGGATCTTGCTCTGTAGACCAGGCTGGCCTCAAACTCACAGAGATCCGCCTGCCTCTGCCTCCCAAGTGCTGGGATTAAAGGCATGTGCACCACAACCACCCAGCTAATAAAAATATTTTTAAAAAAGAAAGATGCGCAGAGAACTGTGAACTGGATGACCAGAGATCTGAGTCAGCTGAGAGACAGGGAAGACGGCTGACCAGATACTGGGAAGCATGACCTGACACAGACTGTCTCCAGAAGGACTTTGTGTGCCAAGCACTACACATCTACCCAAACACATATCTGTATCTACACGAGAGACGGTCCATCTTACCTATGAGCTTAACACAGGCAAGGTCCACACAGCTATGGATAGCGAACATGCAAAGGCCTTTCTGACTTCACTAGAGCTGGTGCCTATCCTACACTGATTGTTAGTTTGTTATTTGGGGTTTGGGTTTGCTTTTAGAGGGGGGTGTCTCCCAAATACTCCTTTACAATGAGTAGAGGAGATCAAATGACGCCCCCAGGAACAGACTGACTTGTTCACATCTTCCAAACCCACTGGGCCCCGCCATACTCAGCCTCAGGCCCGTGGGCCCTGTCTCAAGCAGCCAAGGCACCTTGGTGAAGCAGCTTCATGGCCATGCTGTCCAATTCTTGCTCCGGCTCAGTCCTCAGCTGCACCAGGGAGAGGAGGTTCAGGAGCAGCGGCAGGTTCCCCGAGGCTACGGAGAACAGGAATGGGCTGTTCAGAGAGCTAACCAACCTCAGCCCACCCACAGGCCAAACACCTCCCTGCCACAAACAGCCCTAAGGAAGGGCACTTGACTCTCATTTCTTCTCATGGGGGACAGCAGTAGCTCATACACTGGATGCCAACTCTGGGCAGCCATTGGGAATTCATTACTACTTCACTAAAGTCCATGAAAAAACACACCAAACAGGGACTTTTGTTCCTATTTTGCAGTTAGGAACATAAAGCACATGGTCATTTCTCACAGAGGTCCCACAGCTCCTGAAAGGCAGGGTGCTAGGCTCTGAATGTGTGTAAGCCCCCAGTTCCTATGCTGAAATCCTAACCTCCAATGTGAGAGTTTTAGGAAGTGGGGTCACTAGAAGTTGATTGAGTCATAAGACACGGTCCCCATGAACAGGATTAGTACCCATAAGAGAGACTCCAAAGACTAGTCACTTGTCCCTTCTGCCTCATGAGGATACAAGGCGTCTGAACATAGTGGATTCTCCCCAGACATCAAATCTGCTGGGATCTGGACTCAGGATTTCCCAAGACCTGTTAATAATATCCTCTTGTTCATGAGTCACCTAGTTTATGGTGCTCCGTTACAACCACCGAAACAAAGACAGATATTGAACACACATCTAAATCTATTTCCCATGCCTTTGCCCCCCCCCCCGCCTTTTTTTTGAGTCAGGGTTTCTCTGTGCAGCCCCTGCTGTCCTAGAACTCCCCTTGTAGACCAAGCTGGTCTCGAACTCAGAGATCTGCCTGTCTCTGCCTTCCAAATTCTGTGATTAAAGGAATACCTGCCTATAGTGAATCTCTTTTAAAAAATTTTATTTTGTTTCGTTTTGAGACAGGGTCTATGTAACCCTCCCTGACTGTCCTGGAACTCACTATGTAGACCAGGCTGGCCTCAGACTCACAGAGATCCCCCTGCCTCAGTCTCTCCAGTGCTGTCATGCTGTTACACCTGGTCTAAAATTTTTAAAATTTATTTGTTATTATTATTATTTATTATTATTGCTACTGTTATTATTAGAGTGTGTGTGTGTGAGCACGCACGTGTGCATGTAATAGGGGAGGGTGCAACAGCACACGCATGGAGATCAGAGGACAACTTCATGGAATCAGTTCTCTCCGTCCACCTTTACATCACAGTCCAACTCGGCTCGGCAGGCTGTTCAGCAAGTGCTTTACCTGCTGAGCCGGCTCACTGGCCCACACCTTACTGTAAACAGTACTCTCATCCAGACACATTTTGTTCTTCGCTAGGAAGGAGGTGCTTGGACCCTCAGAACTCCAGTGTTCTTTCAGGACTGGACCTGGGAGCCACAAACCTCTTCCCACTTGCCCTTGATGGCTCAGAAATTTAGTTTAAAAAAAAAAAATCAGATTCTTGGGCCAGGTATGGCCATGATAGCCTTAATCTCAGCAAGCACTCAGCAAGCAAAAGTCAGTGAATCTCTGTGAGTTCAAGGCCAGCCTGGTCTACAAAATGAGATAGATCTAGGGCAGCCAGGTAGACCTTTAAAAAAAAAAATCAGATTCTTGAGCCAGGTGGATCTCTATGAATTTGTGGCCAGGCTGGTCCATATGAGACCTTCTCTCAAAAAAACAAAACCAAAATCAGATTCTCAAAGAAAAAAAAATCCAGCCTCTTTAAAAATAGCTAAAGACAAATCAACCCTAATTTTGAGTTTCTTCATATTGAAAAGCCAGCTTCTGTGACTGCTAGCAGCATATCCTCCTGGAGCTCACTGGGGATTCAACACATCACAGATCCACCCTACTCCCACAGCCCTGCTGGTTCCCCAGCCTCCTCCAGATTTCCACTTTCTTTTTCCCTCTGGGAGCTGCCATTTTTTGTGACAAACAGCTCCAAGCACATGCTGTGCGTGGTAGGGACTGGCCTGATTTTTCTTCTGTTGCAAAACCTGATTCTCTTTCTTAGAGCACACTCCACCAAAATAGAATGGTCTACTCTACGTGTCAAAACCTGTTCAAGGAAAACTGACCTCCGGAGGTGGGAGCTCCATACTCCACCAGCAGGCGCTGCAGGATGATCAGGAAGTGGCCGCGGATGAGACCACCCACTTCGATGTCTTCATTCTCCCGAATGAAGGTCCTCAGGACAATCAGCACCTTGCGGGCTGTGTCCATGGGACTGGAATAAACGAGGTCCTAGGAGGAGAAAGAAGCCAGAGCTCAGAGAGCACACAGCCAGGGACAGGCAGACAGTGCAGGAAAGGGTCAGGGAATGCGGCCAGGCTGACGGTTTCACAAAAGCAAAGTGAAGTCCTCTTACTTTGCACCTGATTTTGTACCAAATACCCTGGTGGATGCACTGACTGCTCACAATTCCTGGAGAGCAGTCCCATCCTATTACATCAAGAAGCAAACAGAGGCTCCGGGACAGTACACAATTGGCCCGAGGTCACATAAAGGCAGTAAGTGGCACCAGGGGTGCAAATGTAGGCCTCTGGACTCAGGGTGCCTCTCTCTTGGAAGTATGAGGGTCAAGAAGGGATTGTTTTTAGGACCAGGAACCTGACAACCAGGAGACTACACAGAGAACAGAGAAGTCATGGGCCAAGGGAAGGATAGGCTGGGAGAGACTCAGGGTATGGGACGGGAAGTGAGGACCAGGTCAGGCCTCTTCTCGGCCATGGCATCTGCCCATCCCTGCCCCAGGCAGTGAAAGTCTTGGATTCAGGAAATGAAAAAGGACATTTCATTTTGTTTTGCTTTTGGAGTTATTTTAATGAACGTATGTTGAAGGCAAAACAGGCAGAAGGGGCACCAGTAGCTGTCCCTGATAGCTCCTGGCACCTACCAGCTCGAATACGCCAATGCCTTTGGACAAGTGAATGTGTCGGGCCAGTTAGGACAGGGTGCTATGAATCCAAGGTCGCACAGACTCTGTACAGAGAAGCCAGCTCCCAGTGCAGAGAAACGTGACTACAGGGCACTTCAGCCAAACAAATCCTGATGTGATGACCACTGGGCAGGCAGGGCAGGATGCGGAAATTGAGCATAGGGCACGGGCTTTAGAGAAACAACGACAATATCAGCAATTAGAACCTAATAACATAGGTGCTGCCCTGTTTTTATATCATAGCCATACATTTGTCTATACATTTTGTTTGTTTGTTTGTTTGTTTTTCCAGACAGGGTTTCTCTGTGTAGCCCTGGCTGTCTTAGAACTTGCTTTGTAGAACAAGCTGGCCTTGAACTCATAGAGATCCAACTGTCTCTGCCTCCCAAGTGCTAGGATTAAAGACGTGTGCCACCACGCCTGACTGTCTATACATTTTTACATCTTCCTGATAACTCCTCCAGTTAGGTGTCATCCCAGTTTTCAAGTGGGGAAACTAAAGTAGATCAATTAGTTGTCTATCAAGAAAGTAGTAAAGAGTCAGAGGTAGTAGCTTACACCTATAATCTCAGCACTCAGGAGGATAAGGGTGAGGAATTCCATGAGTGTGAGGCCAGCCTGGGCTATATATTAATTTCCAGGCTAGCCTAGGCTACGGAATAAGATGGTGTCTTAAAAAGAAAAAGAAAACAGCAGAATTGTAAATTCTACTCTAGTGTGTGTTAATGAAGGGGAGGGGGTTAATGAGGTGGCTTTACCTCCTTCACTTCATAGAGACTCAAAAGCTATCTCTGAGAAGACAAAATCACAAGTTGGAGGGCTTAGGAAAATCTAGATAATTTCAGAGACAGATGTGTGGCACAAGCCTAAAACTCTAGAACTAAAATCTAGATAATTTCAGAGACAGATGTGTGGCACAAGCCTAAAACTCTAGAACTCAGGAGACGGAGATGGGTGGGTCCCAAGCTCATCCCGTTCCCCTGCTTTAAAGAATGTGAGGCTGAAATCTAAAGTCGGAATACTTTACTCAGGGTCAAGAGAGTAAAGGTCAAGCCTTTAGTACCCTGCTGTCCTTTGCTGGTCCATCCCTGCCGCAGGGTCACAAAGCTGGTCCCTCAGAAGTCTGTGAGTTTTAAAGGTCTAAAAGGAAAGGGATTACAAGGTCTTTGTCGGCCACAGTAAATGCTGCGTGCAAATACGTACCTCATCACATGGGTTAGTGAGAAGGTGGTGGGCGGACCCATGGCCCACTGCATTTTCAACTGTCCAAAGCTGTCCAGACTCAGAACAGAGCATCTGTGACAGCCTTGTGTTTCACAGCTAAACAATGTACGTGAAAGACCACCCGTGGATAAGAGTGGCAATTAACAGCTTTGTTTTCAGCTGTTAATTACCCATATCAAAACCAGAAATTGGTCCCAGCACATATTTTTAGACTTTATTCCCTCCTGTGGCTAAAAGCTGGGAAGAAATGGTGGGAATTATATGTATGAACAGAAAACAAAGTTGTTTCTTGCTGTTCTTTTCACCACTGATGTTTCTAGGATCTAATTTAGTAAGATTCAGCAACTGTGGCCTCCAGTCCTGGCCGTGATCCTTATTACCTTGGGCAATTCCATTAGCATCTCTGACATGACCCTTTTCTAGCTCAGACTCAGAGCCAATGATTAGTAAGTGACCATCTGCATGCGGTACCCGTTTAATATTCCTCTACACTAACTCCCGGCCCTCCTGATATCCTCATTTCACCTGAAACACAGGAAAGCCTCCCTTTCCCAGGTCTCTAAACAGCATCTAGCCATGCAGGTAGCTCCTTCCTACTGAGCTCTAGGCAAAGGGAAGTCAGAGCCTCCTGTGGCCTGCTGCAGCCACCTCCAAGAAGAGATGAATGGGACAGTATACATCCAAGGGCAAGGCCTGGGCCGGAAGGATAAAATGGGGCACCCCACCCCTTCCTGAGAACACAGAATCTAAGGATTTGGTCTTCGGAGATTCACTTTCTCTTTGGCTTGCTTCTCCTAAGAGCTTATTTTCTTCGAAACTGGTGGCCCAGGACAGTTTTCAGCCAAAGTAGCTAGTCTCCACCCTAACGAGGCCCAAACTGTGAAAGGAACTGGAAGAAGAGCTAATGAGCCACACCTTTTTCATATTCATTATAGATTTACATGTTTACTTATTCATGAACTCAGTACTTCATGCGTTCCAAGCACACGTTCTACCACTGATTCACACTTCCATTCCAAGGAGCTCCATGTTAGACAAAACATGGTTGGCATTTTAAGACTGAGCTTGGAGTGGTCAGAAGTGGCATGTAGACTTTCATTGGCATCAGCACACAGGTAGAAGGATGCCAGAGTCTGGGATAGGTGAGCCATCCCAGGAAAAACGTAGTGAGTGAAGTTCCTCAGGCAGAATTTTGCAGAATACCATCCTTAAGACCTAGCCAGGGCACAGGGAAATCTCCAAGATACTGAGAAGGGGAGCCTCAAGAGAAGGGTGAGGAAAATCAAGAGACGGCATTCCTTAAACCCAGAACGTGCCACTAAAAAGAAAGTGGACAGCCATCAATATCTACATGTCACCTAAGATGATTACCAACAAGCCTATGGTAATTAGTTACGGAGACATCCTTGTTGTCATGGAGATGCAGTTTTCAGGAGCATCACGGTCTGAAGCCAAAGGGCCGATCAGTTAAGGAGATGAAGGTGAAAAGCTTGAAGTAGACAATTACAGTTGGGTTGTGCCAAGGAAGGAAATTAAAACATAAAGAGCAGGAGGCAGAGACTCAGGAGCCCATAGGTAAAGGGAGAAGGCCTTCAGAGCAACTAGAGCATAGTTATCCAGGGTTTACACACACACACACACACACACACACACACACACACACACACACACACACACACAATCTCTCTCCTCCTCTTCCTCCTCCTCCTCCTCCTCCTCCTCCTCCTCCTCCTCCTCCTCCTCCTTCTTTTCTCCTTCTTTCTCTTCTCCTCCTTCCTTCTTCTCATTTTTAAAACCCAGGCTGTCTTTAAACTCACTCTATAGTAGAGGATGACCTTGAACTACTGATTCTCCTGCCTCCACTTCCCAAGTGCTGGGATTACTAGTGTGCATTTCCATGCTCCATTTATGCAAACTGGGATGAAACCATGGGCCTCCCGCCCGCTAGGTAAGCACTCTGTCAACTGAGTTACATCTCCCAAAGCCTGCCATCTGTAAATGCAGAAATGAATGAGTGCACCTACCAGCAAAATGAGCAGGATGCTAGGCGTGTTTCTGAGCATCTGGAACAGGGCTGCTAAGTTGGCAGGAAAGATGGTCCGTCCAGGAGACGAGTCGTCATCTAGGTTCTCATAGCTGCACTCTTCCCAAGAAAACCAAAGTTCCAGGGCACGATGACCAAACCTGCTCATCAACCCTGGATAAACCAGGAAGAATCTGAGCAGGAGTGGGTGGTGAGTGTAGACCAGGTGTAGGTCTGAGATGCCCTCTAGGAATTTTCTAATTGCACTGATCACAGCCTGGTGAGAAAAGAAAGCAACTAAATATACTTTGCAGAGGGCCTGAGACCCCAACGAGGTAACCAAAGGTTGAGGAAAACGTACTGGCATCTCAGCATCCCAGTCCATCTCACTGCTCATCCCGATGGGCTTGGAGAGAAAACCCCACAGTGCTTGCCTTTTAATAGCAGTTCTCAACCAGGAGCAGTTTGCTCCCTGTGTGATATTTGGTTGAGTCTGGAGACATTTCTGATTATCATGACAGGGCAAGTGCCACTGGCATCTACTAGGGAGAGTGCAGGAATGCTGCTAAATACCCTACAATGCCAGCAAAGACCCTCACAGGGGAAAAAACCCAGTGCAAGACAGAAGTAGTGCTAATAGAATATTATATTATACATCAATACGTCTGTCTGTCTCCTACCCTAGACTGAAAGGGCACTTAGCAGAGGGCCTGGCTCAGAAGGGAGAAAGCAGATGTGTGTTGAATCATTTACTAAACACTAAAAACCCCACTACTTTCCCATAGAAAACAGATCAACATTCAGATTCCTTAGGTAATCTTGACAATAAAGATTAACAGAAAGATTGGATTTGCTTGGGAAATGCTCAGGAGATTCGTAAGGCACAGCCCAGTGTGTCTGTGAGGGCGATTATGTGGGGAGTGGGGGAAGATCTCCCCCGAATGTGAGCGTCACCATCCTAGAGGGTGGGAGCTTAAATGGAATAAAAGGGAGAAACGGGAAAAATTCCATTATAAATTTGGGGCTTAGCTGGACATGATGGCACATGTTTCCAATCCCAGCAGAGGCAGGCAGATGTCTGAGTTCAAAGTCAGCCTGGAGTCTACATAGTGAACTCCGGGACAGCCAGGACTACTCAGAGAAACCCTGTCTAGAAAAAAACAAAACAAAACAACAACAAAAAGCAGCAGGTTCAATCCCCAGCACTCAAAAAAAATAAGAGTGAAATTAGACTACTGACTTAAGGATTGAGTATAGTAATAATATCTCCAGATTTTTGTTTGTTTGAGACAGAGCCTCACCCAGGCTGGCCCAGAACTTAATATGCAGTCTAAGCTAACCATAATTTTCCTGCCCTAGATTCTCAAACACTGTGACTACAGACATAAGCCACCACAACCAACCTAGAAGGCTGATATTCTTGGGAAATACATACTGAAGCATTTAAGGAAAAAAGAGCATATCAAAAATTGTCTGAGAATTATTTTCAAATGGTTCAGAAAGATAAGACTGGGGGAGAGTAAATTAAAATCATTATTTTAAAAAAGGGATGAATCACTGGCAGTGGTGGTGCACACCTTTAATCCCAGCACTCCAGAGGCAGAGAGAGGCAGGTGGGTCTCTGTGAGTTCAGGCCAGCCTGGTCTACAGAGCAAGTTTCAGGACAGCCAGGGATACACAGAGAAACCCTGTCTCGAAAAATGAAAAAATAAGATTAAATAAATAAATAAAGTTAGGTTTGTGGTGCTAGGCATGATGGTGCACTAAGAAAGCTAAGGCAGGGGGATTATTTCAAGTTTGAGAGCAGCCAGAGTAACAGCATGAGACCTGTCTTAACTGATTTAAATCAGGCTGTGGTTGTGTATTACATTTATATATTTATGTAAAAGTTAAGCTAAGACTACAGCTCCATGGTAGAGTGTTTGCCTGCCTTGTAAAAGGCTGTAGGTTTTATATGACATTACGGATTCAGGCCTAAAAGGGCGAAAGCCCAGAGTCCCATCCGCTTCCTTCTTGGCTCCCACACCAGCAGCAGTGTGAAGAAGATCTTGCTACACCATCATCTAGAAGCCACTGAGACTGTTCCCATCATGCCTTTCTCCTGTCTCTGGCAGTCCCAGAAGCTCAGAATCATCCCCATCTGGCTCAACACGCCCTCTCCTGTTCTCCTGTCCTGTCTTACTCAGCTCCCCAAAGTTTGCCCTGTGTCCTCTGGAAACCAGTTACTGAAAAAGTCTATGTTTTCAAATTTCTCTGAACACTTCCTCCCCTCCGATACTTTGTCCATGACTGACAGTCTAAATTTGATCCCTGGAACACACATAGGGTAGAAGAAGAGAACTAACACCACAAAGTAGTCCCCGGACCTCCACACACGTGCTTCGGCATGTGTGCTCTCACTTAACACAGACATCACGCACACGTGTACACTCACACAATGATAATCAAGTTTTTAATCTACAAACAAGAAGAATGATAGAATTAGGATATTATTGTGGGGAAATCTCTAAGGAAGTAATGAGTGTAGACAACACTCACTGGAGGCTGCTGATAACCCACAAAGATGAGCAGTGGGACCCTGTGTGCTACACCGTACACAGCCATGTTCTTTATGTTTCTATTCCAATGAAACTTAATCTGTTTACATCACATTTGGACCAATAGCAACAAAAAGAAGCAACGTTAACTGTTAGGCTGGGCGTGGTGTCACACTCCTTTAGTCCCAGGACTCAGGAGACGGGCAGTCAGATCTCTTAAACTCCAAGAGCAGCCTGATTTGCAAAGTGAGTGCTAAGCTAGCCAAGGGTACATAGTAAGACCCTGTCTCAAAAAACAAAAACTTAATTGTTACCATAGACCAGTGATATACCATTTGCCAAGCATATGCAGAAAGCTGGGTTCAATACCCAGCACTGAAAAAAAAACAAACAAACAAGTAAACAGCAATAAAAATATTCTATGGTAGCCAGGCAGTGGTGGCGCACGCCTTTAATTCCAGCACTTGGGAGGCAGAGGCAGATGATCTCTGAGTTTGAGGCCAGCCTGGTGTACAGATGAGTTTGAGGACAGCCAGGGCTGTTACACAGAGAAACTCTGTCTCAAAAAACAAAAACAATATATATATTCTTAGGTAACAACTGAGAAGTTCACAGTCAAGAAACCGAAGTGGGGCTGGAAAGCTGGCTGAGCGGTCAGGAGCACTTCCTGCTCCTCCAGAGGACCCAGGTTCTGTTCCCAGCACCCATGGCAGATGGCTCGTGACCATCTCTAATTTCTCCAGCTCCAGGGAATCTCACATCCTCTTCCAGCCTCCACAGGCAACCATACACGTGTGCTATACATTTACTTCAATACACACACACAACCATAAAAATAAGATATGTTTTTAAAAGACATAGAAGCAAACTTCTATGGAAAAAATTGTTATGAGTCAGACACTGTTCTCGATTTCTAGGACTTATAAAACAGTTAGAGAAAATTGGACAATACAACTATAAGTATCATTAAAGTAGATGAGAAGTTAAAAAAAATCCAATAGCCAGGTGTGGTAGAGCATTTAATTCTCGCTACTTGGAAGACTGAGGCAGGAGAATTCCATCTTTGAGAATTGCACCAGCCTGTGCAATTTAGTGAAATCCTGTCTCAAAATAAAAGAGAGAAAAAAGTCTAGAATATATCTGAGTAGTTGAATGTAGCATGTGGAAGGCCTTGGGTTCAATCTCCAGAACCTCCTCCTATGCACACACACACACACACACACACACACACACACACAGATCCACAACCAGTCCAACTAACAATGATCACTCAGTTTGACGAACGTTCGTCACAGCTCTCTCACAGCACAGAGGTGGCACCAAGGCCAGGCCTGTGTGCCCAAAAGAAAGTTATTTTCACTTGTTCTTTTTTTTCTTTTTTTGCGGGCAGAGGGTGGTGGTGGTGGTGTGTGTTTGTTCGAGGCAGGTCACCAGTCACCCAGGCGGGCCTCCACTGTCTCCACCTCACTAGCGCTACAGGTGTGATCCCACGTACTTTCGCATCTGTGCCCATTCTCTTACCTATAAAACGGAAGTAACCATCTCCACCCCACCCCCACCCCACCCCCGGGGCTGTTGAGAGAACTAGCTGATTTTTAGGCTCACTGTGCTCAGCGCTGTTCTCCTCTCTTTCCCCACGGCACTTCGCCTCGACCTCTCCCTGTCACCCCTGTCTGCACACATCATCACGTCCCCCCAGAGAACGCTAGCACAGAGAGGCGCAGAAGGGGAGCCCCAGGCGAGGCTCTGGCTCGTACCTCACCCAGGGCACTGTCCTTGTCCTGGCACATTGCCAGCAGATAGATGGAGGCTCTGCAGACCGCTGGCGGAGGGCGCTCGCCCTGGTCCTGCACAGACAAAAGGAAGCTCTGCACGGCCACAAATAACTCGGCCTCGGGGACAAACCTGTTGACCAAGAAGAGCCTGAGTGAGGAGGGCAGAGCGGCCAGGCCAGTGGAGCCTTCTACTCTGCTGGCCCCATCCTCCCTCAACTCAGTGTCCTTCCCCAGCATGCCCACAGCCTGAGGCTGCCATGCACACACAGTGTGTTGTGTAGACTTCCAGAGCATGTCACACGTGTGCAATACAAATGCACTCAAACGCATGTGCATAGATGAACGTGCATACATACAGGCATTCATTACACGGAGCTGGGCTACAGATGAAAGCCCCAGGACTCACCACCAGCCGTTGGCTCTGAGAACTGACCTGTCGTCATGGATGTGAGCCAGGTAGAAGAGGAGCAGGAGGCAATACTGTCTCTGGCGTGCGGCGACCTCCACATACTGGCGATCTGACAGGAAGGCAAGGCTTTCTGGGGTCCGGCTGCTGATCTGGGGCAACCCATGCTGCAGGAACTCAGACACTGCAGAGAGTTCTGGGAGGGAGCAGGTAGGGGAAGGCCACAAAGAGAACACAGGAAAGCAGGTAATGACGCCTGAGAACCATTGCATGTGGAGGCTACACAGGGCACCCAAGGGTAGTACCCAGGGAATCAGAGGTTCCTTTCCCCTTATGCAGCTCTCGGGCTGTCAGAAGAGACTGAACTTAACATGTAGAAGGATACAGACAGCATTCATTCACTCACTCACTCACTCAGTCATTCCTCTGATGTCTGTTCACTGAGTGGCACTCTCGATCAGACTGTGAAACCTCTCGGAGCCCCCCAAAGGGAATGATTGATGAGACAAACAACTGCAGACAAATGGTCAGTGCCATGTTCCAGTGTGGAAAGAGTAAATCAGGCCACCTAGGGTGGAGAGGGCAACCTTAAGGGGCAGAAAATCATAGAGGATAAGCAGAAAACAGGCAGGGAAGAGAGAGAGAGAGAGAGAGAGAGAGAGAGAGAGAGAGAGAGAGAGAGAGAGAGAGAGAGACAGAGACAGAGAGACAGAGAGACAGAGAGAGAGAGAGAGAGAGAGATCCAAGAGTTTGGAGACCCAGAGTCCTAGGTGGGCACATTTCTGTTCAGTGTGAACATGTGTGGGGCATCAGGGAATATAGGATCAGGTGACTGCAAAAGATGTCATATGCTGCTTAAAGAACTTGAACATTAACAGGGCACACTAGTACTTTAGCAGGGTGGGGTGGTACATGCAGTTCCTGTTACACACTGGCGACGCATCAGGATGGCACTGAGGTGCAGGGAAGACAGCCTGGGCTACATAGTGAGAGCCTCTCTCAGAAAAAAAAAAAAAATCAAGGGCTGGAGAGATGGCTCAGAGGTTAAGAGCACTGGCTGCTCTTCCAGAGGTCCTGAGTTCAATTCCTAGCAACCACATGGTGGCTCACCACCACCTAATGACATCTGGTGCCCTCTTCTGGCCTGCAGGCATATACGCAGATAGAATACTGCATGTATAATAAATAAATAAATCTTTAAAAGTATCAAAACAAAACAAAATAGCAAAAGCCATTGTATGTTCTCCTGGGAGGAGAGATCCTAGTTTTCTTATGGAACCTGTTTTACAAAAAGCATAGCAGAGGAATAGAAAAAGGCTCTCAGAGCTCTTGGCAAGTTACCGCATTACCCTTACTTTCCACATTTCACCAAAGGCCGGCGACCTCTCCCAACACTGTCTGACACAGCTCCATAGTGCTATCCATCCCTGACATTGCATCTAGTGTATAATGTCTGCCTTTCTCGCTGGAACAGAACAGGGCTTTGTCTCCCCGGCTCTTTCAGCAGCACCTGGAATACAGGCTGGCACACCATGTATGCACAAGAACTACTTCATGAATGAATGAACAGAGAAATGGAACAGACGATTCGAGAGACAGTGAGTCCTGGGCTGGAGGTAGACCAGCAAAGTGTTGATGATGTAGAGGAGACACTTGGGAGACAGGATTTAGACCAGATAAGCTGAGGGTCCTTCTCAATTGTCTGGAGTCTAACATCCCAGGAACCAGTTTCTCTACTGTTATTCCCTCTCCTTAGAAATCGATCTAGAATTCCAGCAGGGTAGCTTCCAGCAAAGCGGTCTCATTGTATTGGCTCATTATCCAGCCAATCGGCATGACTTCCAGACTGAAAACTGTCATGGGATTCAGGAGCGGTCAGATCACTTCATCTCACCTTCTTGGGAGGGCGGTTTTGTCTTCTCGGGAGCTGAGAGGAGACTGAGGCACAGGTAGTAGAGGAAACTGGAACACACCTGATTTAGGGATGAGTGACTTAAAGGGGGAAGTAAGAAGAAAAGAGACAGCATTACCACTTTAGCTCCAACACCGTTAACCCCAACATGTGCTAAGACATCACTGCCGTGTACCAGAGCCCAGTGAAAGCCTGACCATGGCTACAGCAGAGGAGACCCTACGGTGGCTATGAGAAGTGAGTAGTTGGGGAGAGAAACTAGAGAGATGGCTCAGTGGTTAAGGGCATTTGCTGATCTTGCAAAGGACCCAGGTTCTGTTCCCAGCACATAACCACTAGTTCTAAGGGTCCCAATGCCCTCTTTTGCCTCCACAGGCACAGCACTCATACAGACAAGTAGGTACACACATACACATAAAATGAAGATAACAAATATTTTAAAGTAAATATGGAACTAGCTGCCACATTTGCAATAGGCACCTGGCTCATATGGAATCACTGAAGGCTTCCTTGAAAAATAAATTAAGGAAGGCTACCTGTTGTAGAATATTATTTTAAGATGTGTTACATTTGTTTATGCTGTGGAACATTTGTTTAATGATGCAATGAGCCGGGCGGCGGTGGCGGCGCACGCCTTTAATCCCAGCACTCAGGAGGCAGAGCCAGGCGCATCTCTGTGAGTTCTAGGCCAGCCTGGGCTACAGAGTGAGTTCCAGGAAAAAAAAGAGAAAGAAAGAAAGAAAGAGAGAGAGAGAAAGAAAGAAGGAAAGAAGGAAGGAAGGAAGGAAGGAAGGAAGGAAGGAAGGAAAATGGAGAAGTCCAGAGGCAAAAGGTAGATAGGATAATTTTAAGAAAAGTTGGCAAGAAACAAGCCAAGCTAAGGCCAGGCATTTATAAGTAATAATAAGCCTCTATGTGTGATTTGTTTGGAAGCTGGGTGGTGGGCCCCCAGAGAGCTAAGAGCAAAAAAGTAAAGAAAACAACCAACAACAGCTACCCAAACCTACAAACGAAAGAAAGAAAGGGCTAAGGAGTAGTACAAATGTAAGGAGCTGCCAGACATGGTAGTACATAATTACAGCACTCCAAGGCTGAGGCAGGAGGATAGCCACAAAATCCAGCCTGAGGTAGACCATTTGCAAAAAGAAGAAAGGAGAAGAAAGAGAAGGAGAAAGAGGAAAAGAAGGAGGAGAAGAAGGAAGAGAAAAAGA